GAAATAGCCTTAAAACAGAGACTAAATTTTTTTGCCTGGGATAACAAATCTACAATTCTATAATATCCTTTCCAACATGTTTTGCATTTATTTTTTGACCATTTTCATTGACCGAAAGCAAAAATCGCGTCGTTCCGTTTGAGCCGCTTCGTAGTTTGGCGGTCTATTTAAAAAAAAACAATGTTTTTATGGCTATATTATATGAGGAGTACATCAAATAAATATTTAAACTAACTTATCAGTACCGTACCAATTGTAATAGTAGTTAAAGTGACCAACATGCTGAATAGCATGATGGCAGGAAACGGCCGCGGCAGAATATCCGGATGCCCAATAATTGGGCATATTCGATATCCAAGTACAGTAATTTAAGTACATAATATTAAGTATGGAATGAGTCTCATTGTGGTCAACCGTGTGAAAAAGGTCCTTACCCGATTCAAGTTCTGTTATCGATACTGCGCGCCAAATATAAATTTTTTGAATGTGAACGACAAGGATTTAAATGTTGTCAACCAAGCCATTACCGATTCAAAAAATTCATAAATTTTGATATTCCGTCCGATATTACTAGCTATCTAGATCTCTCAGCCCTGCCAGATCATTTTATCCAATTTACAAACCTATTTTCTAAGTGACTGATTTATTTTAAATACGTGCATTTATTGGACTTTTCCTAAAAAAGGTTTTAGCGAAAAAGGTCAAGCAAAAAAAAACATAAGAAAGTAATCGTTTCTATTGCTCAATTTATATATTCCCAGCCCTGCTCACATAGTTTTAACCTTTTGATGAATACATTTACATACATACAATAATATTTATATTATTTTGACTAAAATAAGGTTTAAATAAAAAATATCAACAAAAAAACAGTCGCAATGTGATCATGTCAATGTTGAAGACTTGTTGCTTTCAACCATAGTATGGCCGTTTGTATACCCTATTCCGTTCATCTAATATGAAGATATGTACGTTTTAAAACGTAATTGATATTTCTTTGACGCTTCGACGTGATTCGTCATTCATCGGTTGCCAGCCCACCCCAGACTCGAATGATTTTCTGAGCGGGCGAGTTTCTGAGTTTCATTTTAAGGCCATACAAAATATTCCATAAAGAGAAAGCACTATCGAGAAATTACATTTCACAGTCAGCGACAACCCCAAACTAACTTTATTCTAATTTAAAGTCTGTCGTCAAAACATAAATTTAAAAACTTTAATTATTATTCAAGTACAAAATTATATGTTTTTTGAAACATATTTTAAATGTTTTATCCTCCACCGATTACAAAACTTTCACGTGGTTTGAAACTGGTACCGGAAAAAGCCCACGGCTTACTTAAAGTAACTTTTGATCAAATTCTCCAGCTTAACTGTGTCCACTGCAAACTTTCGAATGCCCTCCGAAAGTTTATCAGTTGCCATCGCATCTTCATTGAGTAACCAGCGAAATTTACTCTCGTCCACGGAAATCTTTTCGATGTCCTGTACCTTTGCATTGTCCACCGACAAATATGTTGTCACCGAATCTATCTCGTTCTCTAGTTCCTTCAGCAGCGACGGGCTAATAGTCAGCAAATCACATCCAGCCAATGCTTTGATTTCGCCCACATTCCGGAATGAAGCACCCATAACCAGGGTTTCGTAATCGTACTTCTTATAGTAATTGTAGATTTTCGTAACCGAAACCACACCTGGGTCCTTTAAGGCCTCGAATTTCTTGTTATCTGTGTTGGCCACATACCAATCCAATATCCGGCCCACAAAAGGGGAGATTAAAGTGACTTTGGCCTCCGCGCACGCCACTGCCTGTGCGAATGAGAACAGAAGGGTCAGATTGCAGTGAACACCATGCTCGTTTTCCAAAATCTCGGCCGCCTTGATTCCTTCCCAAGTGGATGCCAACTTTATCAGAATTCGGTCCTTGTCTATGCCAAGGGATTTGTACAGCTTGATCAGCTTCAAAGCCTTCTCCACACTGTTCTTTGTGTCGAATGACAGTCGGGCGTCTATTTCGGTAGACACCCTTCCTGGAACAACCTTCAGAATCTCGGATCCAAACAGCACGCACAAATAGTCCATTGCCTCAGAAACTTGATCATTCAACGAACTGATGATAGACAGAGGAATTTAGTGAAATCAAAGCATAAGCAATAAAGTATTCAATTATACCCTTTTTGGCTCTTTCCATAATCCACTGCCTTCTGTACCAAGGGCTGGTATCGCTCCATGGACGACGCCGACAAAATAAGAGAAGGATTTGTCGTGGCATCCGTTGGCTTGTAGATATTGATGGCTAAAAATAAAATATAATGTTTAGAAGAAACATATTATTGCACTTTTCGGACTGCCGCTGTAGAACGACCCTGTAAACCAGTTTGAGCAACTGGCCGACATCATTTTACATGAACAAATCCTTGATTTTTATTGCCAAACCAAAGCCTCTTAAACACATATACATTTTTTTCAAATGAAACCTTATCAGTACAGCGGTCAAATTTCCAACACACGTATGCACATAAGGTCAAACTAAAGTCAGGTTGAATTCTGACTGTCACTTTTATTTGATCTTCACAAAAGAAGATAACAAAAACTCGAATACATACATATTTATGACTATCATTGAACCTGAACAGCATACATACATACATACATTTACCTTAGAAAGCATGTTTCAGCTTTTGTATGTGTGTGTGTGTGTATATTCCAGATCAAACTTAGCTTTAAATTAACTTCTTTTTAACAAAACACAACTTATATATGAACCTTATATATGTACCTTCAAAGTCGCCGGTGTCAGCCACTATTGTGGTCACTTGTTTAAGTTGTTGTAGAACCGACATCTTTAGCTTTTTCGACGTGCGATCGCTTCCCATTCCAAAAAAATATAAAAAAATAAAAAAATTAAATTTATTAACAATGCCTGCTGCTGTTAGACCCTCAGAAATATACCAAAATATACCGGCTTAATTGGAAATATACCAAAAATATACTGACGAATTCAAGTTCTATTTTACATATTCCTCGTTTTCTTTCTTCCGTTGAATATTACTAGCTATATAGAACATTTAGCCGTGCCCACATAATTTTAGCCCATTGATGAATCAATTTTCTACAAGATTGGATAGTTTTTAGTCCTGGCTTTTATTGTATTTTGGCTAAAACAAGGCATAAACCAAATAGTTCAACAAAAAAAACAGTCGCAATGTTGTTGGTATTTAAAGACATGATGCGTGTATAGGCCTTTATGCACCCTATTTCGTTAATTTTACATGTAGATCAAACGCAATTTATTAAGACCTTTTCTCAAATTGATATGTTTTTGACTTATTCATGTGTATTATTAGTATCTTGTATATATTTATATCGATCCTGAGCCTTGGAAGACAAACGTATTCACAATTCTATAACATCCATTTCCCCCAGGGTATTTGTGCATGGAATTAGCAACATTTGTGCATGGAGTTAGCAACATTTGTGTATGGAAAGGGACTCATTGTTGCAATAGCGAAAATGCGGCGAATCGGGTTTTGCCTATATTTCAAGCTATATAGATTTGCCCACTTAGCTTTATCCCATAGATAAATGCATTTTCTACAAGATTGCTTCTTTTAATTACCTTTATGTATTTTATTTTGACCAAAAAACGGTTTTCAAGTAAATGTTGCCGCAACTTTTGTGTATGGAATGCGCAACATTTGTGTATGGAATGAGACTCATTGTTGCTAAGGCGAATTGGGGCGAAATGCGGCGAACTGCGGCGAACTGCGGCGAATTCAAATTCCTCATATTCTTTGTTCCGTTGAATAATACTATCTATATAGAACATTTAGCCGTGCCCACATAATTTTATACGATTGATGAATCAATTCTATACATGATTGGCCTATTCGAAATACTTGCATTTATTGGATTTTTATATAAAATTGAAAATTAAATTAATAGATGACAAAAATACCATTTAGCACTAAAAAACACCACATGGGAGCGCGGCGAAAACCAGTTCTTACAGTATGACCCTCAGAACAGCACCGAAATATACGGTCTCATTTTCAAAATATACCGATTGGGCGCGCCAAACCTAACTTTTTTGAATGTGAGCGACAAGTATTTAAATTTTGTCAACCGGGCCTTTATCTATGCCCACATAGTTTTATACGATTGATAAATCAATTTTCTACACAATTGGTTAGTTTTTAGTCCTTGCTTTTATTGTATTTTGGCTAAAACAAGGCAATAACAAAGTAGTTCCACAAAAAAATCAGTCGCAATGTTGTTGGTATTTAAAGACATGATGGGTGTATAGGCCTTTGTGCACCCTATTTCGTTAATTTTATACAAAGATCATACTTAATGTATGAAGATTGATATTCTTTAGACATATTCATGTACATTATTAGTATCTTGTATATATTTATGTCGATCCTGATACCTACTGAGCCTTGGAAGACAAACGTATTCACAATTCTATAACATCCATTCCCCCAGGGTATGTGTGCGTGGAATGGGACTCATTGTTCTGAACCGGTTATGACGACTAATTCTTGGTTAATCTTTCTTCCGTCGAATATTCCCAGCTATATAGATTTCTCAGCTTTGCCCATATAATTTTATCAGATTAATGAATCAATTCTACTTGACTGGCTTGATTTAAATACAGGCGTTTATTCGATCTTGTCTAAAACGGGTTTAGCGAAAAAGGTCAAACAAATAAAACGTAAGACAAAAATCGTTCCTATTGCTTCATTTGTATATTCCGTTGAATAATGCATCAGGCAACACTCTACCCACATCATTTCAGGCCATTATTATTATTTTATGGTATGAATCTATCTTTTCCCGTAAATTTTAGACTATACTGGTCTTGAAGTGTATACGACCATAATAGAAAAATCTTAAGGTTGCGTTCTACCATCACTATGTGCTATCGATACTTGTGATCGAATCTATGTTTATGTTTATCAGCACGTGCGTGTTTTTAATTAAATTTTTAACATGAAGCAGAAACACTCGAAACATAAAGCAAAGCCTTACGGTAAGGCCCCCGTTCGCAAGAATGAGAAATTTTCGAAAAACTACAGCTACATTCAGAGAAGCAAGCAAATGGAGGAATCGCACAGAAAGGAACGACTCCCAGCCCTGACAGGGAATTCTTTTGAGCCTGGAGCAGATCTCCTGTCAGAATTACAAGACCCAGCTGACGAAACTGGATTCTATGAGCAGCTTGTGAATGGATACAGCAATGTACCAACAGGTATGTAAACAAGTATATAATCTCAATACCACTTTCCTTGACCATGAATCGTTTTTTCAGACTTTTTCAAGCCAAACGAGAGCGAAGCCGCCTTTGTGCCTGCAGCAGTAAAAACCATTGAGAAACAGAGCAAAAGTCCTGTCCAATCAAATGACGACTTTGATTCATACAATTCGTTTTCAAAGCGATTTGATTTCGACCTATCTGAAGACAATATCAGCGATTTGATCTCGCGAACGGATACCACATTGATTAAGAGCAGTTGGCCGGCAGTGGGAAATTTAAAGTTTGAGATTCCTCGGCTAGATTCAAACGCACATAACCCCGACTGCAGTCCACCGAGTGGCATTTCCAGCTCTTCTGATCTGCAAAAATTAGAAGTCAAAATGTCCATAAGCGCAAAGGTAGCGTTTCCGCTTTCTGCGCTACAGTCGGAACTCTTTCATATTGTAAATAACTATCAGGACCTGTACTATCCTTACCGAACACACAGCAATGCCGAAGAGATCCGGTACATGTACTGCCTGCACGCGCTGAACCATATGCTAAAGGTTAGATCTCTGATACTGCGTAATAACGAGAAAGTGGCAGCACTCGCCAAGTCACTGAAGTTGTCTCCGAATGAAATTTCTATTCCGGAGACCTTTAGAGACCAAGGACTAAAGCGTATGAAGGTGCTCTTTATAGTGCCCTTCAGGGAGTCGGCTTTAAAGATAGTGAAGCTTATCGGAGACTTACTATTTGGCAGTCAAGATGGTAAGAACTGTAAGTTGAAGACGAAAGCAAATAATTTATCTTTTATTTGCAGATCAAACCAGGAAAAATTCAATGACAAATTATGAGCGGTTCCTTCAAGACTACTCGGGAAACACGATATATTTTCCCAAAACGAACCCAAAACCATATGACTATGAGCAAACTTTCAGTGGAAACACAGATGACAACTTTAAAATTGGAATGCGTTTTACAAAGAAGTCCGTTTCACTTTTTTCTGACATGAACTCTTCAGACATACTTATTGCTTCTCCACTAGGACTACGCATGCTTGTCACTGACAAGGACAGTGACTTTGACTTCTTGAATTCGATTGAATTACTTGTAATCGACCAAGCGGAACTTTTCTTAGCCCAGAACTGGGAAAATCTTCTTCACTCGTTAGACCACCTTCATCTGCAACCGCAGAACCTGCCGGACACAAATTGCCAAAGGGTTCGAACTTGGTGTCTAAGCGGAGCTTCTAGCTTCTACCGCCAAACTCTATTTTTCTCATCTCACGAACTTCCCGAATTTCGGGCAGTGGTCAATAGTAAATGCCAAAACTACCAAGGCAAAGTGCGGATCACAAATCTAGTTGAATATGGCGATATTCGAAATGTTATTACGCCAATTCAACAAGTTTTCCGCCGAATTAACTGCACCAATGTGGAGTCAACATTTGATGATCGCTTTCAGCATTTTGTCAAGCACATTATGCCACAGTTTAGTAAGCCCGGCTTTTCACATTGTATGTTGTACGTGCCTAGCTACTTCGATTTTGTACGTATACGCAACCAGTTCAAAACTGATATGATCAGTTTTGTTCAGATAAGCGAATATACCAAGAAGGAAAAAATTTCCCGGGCGAGAGACATATTCTTTCATAGCGGAGCGTCTGTTCTGCTTTATTCAGAAAGGGCTCACTTCTTCCGACGTACCCGAATCAAGGGTATTCGAAATTTAATTATGTACCAACCGCCCAACTTTCCGCACTTTTACTCAGAGCTAATCAATTTGATGCTCGAATCCAACCAGAACCCGCGAGATGGCTTTGGAGATGAAATGAGTGTCAATATACTTTATACAAAGTATGACCTTCTCAGTTTGAGCAACATTGTTGGAAGCGAAAATGCACTTAAATTGAGCACCGGAAAAAAAGATTCCTACCTCTTTTCGACCAAGACGAAATAACCTACAATGTAGAGCAGACCTTACAGTTACAGTGAAGGTGTGTATACATATATTTTTAAATGTAAATATATCTGTGTGTATTTGTAAAACAAAAAAATTATTATTATTTATTGGAATAATATGCATTTACAATGAATATATTTATAGGCGGAAATCCACAGCTTGGGGAAGGATTGCTTTTATTTGTCGGAGTTACTCACACAAAGCAAACTGCGAATGCAATTGTTACATAACACAACACAATTGTAATCTTTTTGAGTCAAAGAATACTAAATAAATTTTCTAGAATATGAATATCATCATTTCTGAATGCATAAAATATTTATATTCTGTTCAGATATTAGAAAATTGTACAATCTGAGCAAATAACTACTTCAAAATATAGAACTTTTAGAATAAGCAAGTTGTTAGGCTGGTATAAATAATGGTGAATGAATAATATAAATACCATTTAAAAAAGTTCCGATAATTACAAGATAATTGTGATTGAATTAATTCACTTTTTTGGATCTTCATCAGATTGAGCTTACAACTGGAGCACCGGAGCCGTGACCCTGATTGCATATTTATAGCTTCAAGTTATTCAGGTAGTTTAAAAAATAGTGTCCATATATGTATATGTACATATGTATGTATGTATATTGAAAGGTAAAATAATAGACAAATGCATATTTATGTATGCTCTCTGAAATATCGTTAAGGCGGATATAATACAGAAAAGAACATGTGCGGAGAGCGATTGCGCTCTTGCCAACTTTTTGAGAGGCCATAAAGGCATTACAAGACTATTTTAAGCGGCTAAACGACGGCTGGCAGTCTCTGCTGAAACGAGAAGAAAAAAGCAGAAATATCCGGAACGTGCATACTCTTTCAATTGTTCGATTGTTCGGGGATGCTATCTGCAGTACCGGAAAACAATGTTCATGTTTAGATATATATCAGAGCCACCTACATATATTTGGATGTCATAATTTCAAAGGAGTTTAAAAAGGCATGGTGTAGTTTTGTATATTTGTTAAATTAAAGAGTTTTTTTGCCAGTTAGCAATGAACTAGGCTCCTTTGAAAATCCTACGAAACTGTTTTCCATAATAATCCTATGTGTAGCAAACTAACTAAAAACTAACATACTACTAGTCACTGGGCAGAGTTTATAAATAATAATTTCTAAATATTAAACAGACACACGTGCAGTTTGAAATACTCTCTACACTCACAAATACCGATGATCTCCCCATATTACCCCACACAGCTTAGTTCGTTCAAATCTTTGAGCACACGCTGGTACATACAACCATATGGATGTGCCTGTATGTATCTGCATCTGTATCTACCTACATATATGTATCTGCGGCCGACAATATATTTTCCTTCTGTGAGATCCGAGCACAACCGCCAACAATCGGATAGGTGGTAAGTGCTCAAAAGTTTGTGCGTGCTAAAAGTATTTTCCCGGGCCAAAATAGAGAGTGTATGTAGTTTTGGGAATTTTGCCAAAATATATGAATTTTGTAATTCAAATAGACACTCTCATCAAGCAGCGTTCTCCTTGCGTTCAGTTGCCGTTGATCGTTATAATAGCGCGATCTTTGTGTTAGCTCTTGGTCTTCCGACTGAAATAAATTTATTATATAATAACGGAATTTTTACTAGGAATAATAATTGTAAGTTTTGTTGATTTTTTTGCAACAATTCCAAACAAAATAAGTAGTGTTTTACTCCAAACTCCATAAAAAACCAATCGAAAAAAAATATACTCCCAAAATGTAAAAATGTTCAATCGCGCGCCTAAAATCATGGAAAATTCAACAATTTATATAAATTACCTACATATACCCGTACCGTACCGTACATACATATGTACATACTTACACTTGAGAGTTGGTGTTTTAAAGTGTTTCCACAGTTTTAGTTATAAGTTAACTAGTTGAAATCCCCGCCTACAGATATCCAATGGAAATTACCCGTAAAGAGGACAAACAGTGAACAACCTCGACCTCCGTAGTCATATTGAAATTTTTGAATGTCACCAATACCAATGCACAGTCCCAAATAGACACACAGACACACTGATGTAAAGTTTTCACTTGTGTCCTACATAGCATAGCCCGTGCATAGCATCTATCTGTGACAGAAAAACTGATTATGCAACCGTTGTGTCAGCCCCCGAGGCGAATAATAACGGAACTGTATGCATGCTCGTTTTTACACTACTATCATGTACATATGTACATTCCATATCATTTCATTTTATTTACTGGTTATGCCAGGACTTTCTATGTCCATTCGAATGATTAAATATGATTAAGTAATTAATTCGTGACAGATTGATAATTCTGAATTTGAGTACATTACAAGAACCGATAAGGCTGTGGACCTACGTAGGGGTCTCCTTCCCGAAAGGATAAAATACCTATACATATACGATATGTACATATTCATTACACATAGACATGAATTATACAATTCCTTAGCAGATCTCTTCTTTCCAACTGTCAATTGGAATTAGAAAATTCATGCGGGGAGAGCTCTCCTCTACACTGGTCGACATCCATCAGAATGCAGATATGTGTGCTCTAAATATCTTGAGCCGCAAAAATATACTTATGCCTAAAGACACATATGAATATAAAAGTCCACCCTACGATCGTCTGTCTGCCAGTACATATGTAGTATGTCTGTACATTCATACTTATTTATGTGTTCCCAGTACATATTTATATATGTACATATGTGTTCAAAATTAAGCTTGTATTTTTCGGGTGCTAGGTTGCTATTTTTAGCTCATCTCGGACAGAGGCAATTTTTTTTTGCTCCATAATGCACACTTATAGACTTATACGTGCATATGTAGAATATATATATATATATATATGTATATGTATATATTAGAAACACATACATATATAAATACGTTTTGGCCAGGCACATTCGTTTCGTGCAAAACTAAAAGTCATTAAAATATGAATTATTAAATTAACGTTGAAACTGTAACAGTCCAAATACCGTTAGATTTTGACAGATGTGACACGTATATAATTGGATTTGGACCGTGCCTCGTAATAATTTCACATAATCCAAACAATTTTAAAATTGTTGGATCCGGTTCAAAATTTTCCGCATCGCCTGATGTATATCGAGTCCACGGTTCTGGCTGTCTCGTTTTTATTGTTCAAAAGTGAAATGTCTCTGCTGTACGAGTGGACTCAGTTATTTGAATGTGAAAGAGCGCGAAAGAACAGTGTTGGGTAGAGGCGCAAAAACTTCCTACGATGTGTGTTCAGTTGATAGTAGTGGCTCGTCTCGTTCTGGTTCGTTTTGTCGGCGATACAGCAAAGGCAAATATTTTATTTTCTATTATATTAAAGGAACACCAAGTTATCATTTATAGGACAATGCGATTGCTGCACTGTCGATATGTTCATAGATTACTGCTTACATGCAACCCTGATACCAATAAATGTCGTGTCATAGTCGCCAGGTGAAACGAACGCCGATGAAACTCACAAAATCGGCGGCTCGAGACTTAGTGCAATATTATCAGAAGCACACATATTTAGAAAAAAAGCGCCATGGCGTATAATATATAACAAGTTGCAGTGAAAATTCAGTACTTAACACGCAGTGCGTTCGTTGTTTTATATGATTTGTACTGAATCAATACACACGTAAAGAAATCAAATTGCGTGTTGGCGATCTTGGCAAATATTGCCTCTGTTGTGCAAAGCAAAGTGACACGTGTGTGAATCTCATAAGTGGAGATTAGACTAGTCTGGCTTGAGCGGTAATGCCAATATTCTTACCAACTCTTAATTAGTACTTAAATAATTGGTAATAGTTGCTCGACCACTAAGCGTCTCAACTGGTCCATACCTCCCTCCCGCCCCTTTTCATTTACTTTGTCCAAATGTCTAAGAATTTGCATATTTACTTTACAGTAGAGATGTATGTGTATGTACGTACATATGTATGTTCAGCCGTACATTATTTGCACATACTCGTATGTATGCATTCAGGTACTTACTCACATGCACATACATACATACGAAATCTAATGAGGTAGTTTTAACTGCATATGAACACACTTGCGTATGCATATGCATATTGGTATTCCCAATTACTATTCTTGTCAGCACAAACCTATTATCAGAAAATAATAAAAATACTTGGCTTTGTTTTTGTTTTCAATCTTTACACATGAAGTGAAGTCTACTGAACGAAGAGGATAACAAATCAAAATGGAAGACGGTCATTCGAAAACCGTCGAACAGTCTCTGAACTTCTTCGGTACAGACGGAGAGCGCGGTCTTACCCTTGATCAGATTAAGACGAACCAGGCGAAATATGGACCGAACGGTAATTACAATTCTTCAATATCAATATACCCAAGCAACACTGACTCACTTGCGTTCACCTCTTTATCATTTCAGAATTGCCAACTGAGGAAGGTGCGCACTCAATCTCTGATCATCGAGTGCAATACGCGCTCATGCTCATGATAACAAAACCGTTATAATGTCATTCACATTTACCCATTGTTTTATTTCGCAGGAAAGAGTATTTGGCAATTAGTTTTAGAGCAGTTCGACGATCTTCTAGTGAAGATTTTGCTTTTGGCAGCCATCATTTCATTTGTAAGTCTACGTCACTCCGGAGTTGTGTAAACTACTCTACTCGGTTCCGCATATAAACTGGCTATCGTTTTATTTAATCACAGGTATTGGCGCTATTTGAAGAACACGAAGAGACGTTCACTGCATTTGTAGAGCCCTTAGTTATTTTACTTATTCTGATAGCTAATGCGGTGGTTGGTGTATGGCAGGAAAGGAACGCCGAGTCCGCCATTGAGGCTCTCAAGGAGTATGAGCCTGAGATGGGCAAGGTAATCCGTCAAGACAAATCTGGCATCCAGAAGGTCAGGGCGAAAGAGATTGTCCCCGGAGACTTGGTCGAGGTGTCTGTTGGTGACAAGATCCCCGCCGATATTCGTCTCACCCACATTTACTCAACCACCATCAGAATCGATCAGTCTATCCTCACCGGCGAGTCTGTATCGGTTATTAAGCACACCGACGCTATTCCCGATCCACGTGCCGTCAACCAGGACAAAAAGAACATTCTGTTCTCGGGCACCAACGTGGCCGCTGGCAAGGCCCGTGGCGTCGTTATTGGCACTGGACTGAGCACTGCTATCGGTAAAATCCGTACCGAAATGTCGGAGACTGAAGAGATTAAGACACCACTGCAACAGAAACTGGACGAGTTCGGCGAGCAGCTGTCCAAGGTTATTTCCGTCATTTGCGTCGCTGTCTGGGCCATCAACATTGGCCACTTTAACGATCCCGCCCACGGTGGCTCCTGGATCAAGGGTGCCATCTACTATTTCAAGATTGCTGTGGCCTTGGCTGTCGCTGCCATCCCAGAGGGTCTGCCCGCCGTTATTACTACCTGCTTGGCTTTGGGCACACGCCGCATGGCCAAGAAGAATGCTATTGTACGCTCCCTGCCATCTGTCGAGACCTTGGGCTGCACATCCGTCATCTGCTCTGATAAGACCGGCACTCTCACCACCAACCAAATGTCCGTTTCCCGCATGTTGATCTTCGAGAAGGTGGAGGGCAATGACAGTAGCTTCCTGGAGTTTGAACTGACAGGATCCACCTACGAGCCCATTGGCGAGCTCTTCTTGGGCGGCCAGCGGGTGAAGGCCAGTGACTACGAGGCGCTCCAGGAACTGGCAACGGTTTGCATCATGTGCAACGACTCTGCCATCGATTACAATGAGTTCAAGGCTGCCTTCGAGAAGGTCGGTGAGGCCACCGAGACTGCCCTGATTGTGTTGGCCGAGAAATTGAACGCATTCAGCGTCAACAAGTCTGGCCTAGACCGCCGATCCAACGCCATTGCCGCTCGCGGCGAGATCGAGACCAAGTGGAAGAAGGAATTCACCCTGGAGTTCTCTCGCGATCGTAAATCCATGTCATCGTACTGCACCCCACTCAAGGCCTCCCGCCTGGGCACTGGTCCAAAACTCTTCGTCAAAGGCGCCCCCGAGGGTGTGTTGGATCGCTGCACACACGCTCGAGTCGGCACGTCCAAGGTGCCACTGACTTCGGCACTGAAGGCCAAGATTCTTGCCCTGACTGGACAGTATGGAACTGGACGCGACACCCTGCGTTGCCTGGCTCTCGCTGTTGCTGATAGCCCCATTCGCCCAGAGGATATGGATTTGGGAGATTCCACAAAGTTCTATCAGTATGAGGTTAATCTGACATTCGTCGGAGTCGTCGGTATGTTGGATCCCCCCCGCAAGGAGGTCTTCGATGCCATTGTCCGCTGCCGTGCTGCCGGTATTCGTGTTATTGTGATTACTGGTGACAACAAGGCCACTGCCGAAGCCATCTGCCGCAGAATCGGCGTCTTCACTGAGGAGGAAGACACCACTGGCAAATCTTATTCCGGCCGCGAGTTCGATGATCTGTCCATCGCGGAACAGAAGGCTGCCGTTGCACGCTCCCGACTCTTCTCCCGTGTGGAGCCACAGCACAAGTCCAAGATTGTTGAGTACCTCCAAGGCATGAACGAAATCTCTGCCATGACTGGTGATGGTGTGAACGACGCTCCAGCTTTAAAGAAGGCCGAAATCGGTATTGCCATGGGCTCCGGTACTGCTGTGGCCAAATCTGCCGCCGAAATGGTCTTGGCCGACGACAACTTCTCTTCCATTGTGTCTGCCGTTGAAGAAGGTCGCGCTATTTATAACAACATGAAACAGTTCATTCGTTACCTCATCTCCTCGAACATTGGTGAAGTCGTATCCATCTTCCTTACCGCTGCCCTTGGCCTTCCCGAAGCTTTGATTCCCGTCCAGTTGCTTTGGGTCAACTTGGTAAGTGAGAGCTAATTGGATCTCTGAATTGAATGTTCTTAGCTCATTCTGTCTCCTTAGGTTACTGATGGTCTGCCAGCTACAGCTCTTGGTTTCAATCCACCTGATCTGGACATCATGGATAAACCCCCAAGGAAGGCCGACGAAGGTCTCATTTCCGGCTGGTTGTTCTTCCGGTAGGACTACTTCATAAGCAATTGAGGAAACTCATCTCATCTCATGTTATCTGTTCGTTTCGATTTCAACCAATTGCAGCTATATGGCGATTGGATTCTATGTCGGCGCAGCTACAGTTGGTGCTGCTGCCTGGTGGTTCATCGCCTCTAGCGAAGGTCCTGGTCTGACATACTGGCAACTCACTCACCATCTGTCCTGCTTGGGAGGCGGCGACGAGTTCAAGGGTGTCGACTGCAAGATCTTTAGCGATCCCAAAGCGATGACCATGGCCCTGTCCGTACTCGTAACAATTGAGATGTTGAACGCAATGAACAGGTAAGAACGAACTGAAAGCCCGTACACCTATATATGTACTTGTAATGAGGGACCGACGTTTATCTATGCAGCTTGTCTGAGAATCAGTCCCTGATCAGCATGCCTCCATGGTGCAATTTGTGGCTGATTGGATCGATGGCACTTTCCTTCACTCTTCACTTCGTTATTCTTTACGTTGACGTCCTCTCCGTAAGTATCAAATTTAAGCGGGATATGTTCACGCAACTAAATTTTTGAACTCTACATCTTCCATCTATAGACCGTCTTCCAAGTGACACCGTTGTCTGCAGAGGAATGGATAACTGTGATGAAATTCTCAATTCCTGTAGTTTTATTAGATGAAACATTGAAGTTTGTTGCTAGAAAAATCGCAGATGGTGAGAGTCCTATATATAAGATGCATGGGATTGTGTTAATGTGGGCTGTCTACTTTGGCCTGCTGTACGCTATGATGCTTTAAGAATATAATGATAATCCATAAGCCCAATTTCATTATTCTAATTTCTAGTATAAAATGTTACTAAATATAAACAGAAACTACAATTATAAATATCTAACGTAACAACATAACATAATCAATATAAAGATTGTTCCCAAATATAACTGATTTCCAATACCACCACTACCACTCCCCGGTATCACAGAATTACAGACTACTAGTGATACTGAATCCACGGGGCCTCCGACTGACTCACTCCCTGCTTTTGGCATTGAACAAACAGCGTCAGACTATTTACCTATCACCCTATGACCTAACGGTAAACCTAACACACACCAAACCAAACGTATATACCCAAAAAATATACACATATATATATTTGTGTTTGTATATTATTAAATTATAGCAGGATGCTTTTTGTACATACAATGCTGTAGATACATAAGAGTTCCAAACCGGGTATATTTTTCAATTGTAATAGTTAGGTTTTATCCAAATATGTTTTACTGGCTTGTCGGCAAGGAGCGCATACAAAAGATCGCTGTAAATGAGATAGCTTTTTGAACAGGAAAGAAAATCAATTTGAAAAATTGGTATCCTCGTTGAGCAACTGACAAGCTGATTTCTCTGTAGGTTTAGTTATGCAAAAGAACAAAACAATTTAAATTTACTATCTCTTGCTACGTTTGCGTATTCGTGCTAGACCCCATTATTTGTGGGCATTTTTGTTTAGCCATTCAAAAATCGAACCTAATTTTTAAATCTTTTTTAACGAGTTTCGTATCCGAACTCAGTCTATGGCTAACGTAATTTACCTTTCCTTTTCAAGGATACATACAAATGTTTGATAATACTTTCATGAATAAAATCTGAAATATTGGTAAACTCATTCCGTAGCTGTAAGAATTGTTTTTGAGCACAAGATATTGAATAAAGTCAATAATACAGTACGCAGCCAACACAACAACTGACATATTGGGCGCGTACGTACGTATCGTCTCGTCTCGTCTCGGCTTCAGATTGTGTTTGCATTGTATTGTATGTATTTTGGGCAATTGCTTAGGAACACCACCGGGCTGTGTGTGCAGCAATCAGTTTGAACATGTTTAAGGATTATTAATTGACTTGGAATCAAATTGTATAATTTATGTCAGTCTCAGTTCTATGGAATTAAGTAATCCTTCTAGCATTTTTAGCGAATACTTAATTAAATTAACATAATACATAATTTATTTTGTTATAAAATTAGAGACGCTGTGAATTGATTAAACAAAAATTACCCACACAAATACCTAACCTAACATTAATTCAATAAATAACGCAGAACTAAAACATACTACGCTCTACGAACCCCGAAGAAAGGTCAGGGCCACTGGTGTCCCTCAACCCAAAATAAGCTTCCCTTGGCTGCTGCAAATTCTATTTATAATTATGTTTGCTTGCACGTGCACGTCGTTGGTGCGAAGAACGATCGACCTGGCAATTTAGTACCAACGACTTGATAAGATATACATATGTACAAACATAGCTCCCGATAGCAACCCAATATACACATTCTCAATGAACTATTGTTTATTTTCTTATACAGTCAATCCCAGATTTCATTAATTGGATCCCCGATTAATTACCATAACATAAAATGAATCCATCCCTGCTTTAGAAAAGTACGTGCAGTTATTATATTACATATGTCGAGAGTGCGCCAAATTTGTGGTGAATGTAAAAAACAGAGCAGTCGCTGTTGCTGTCGTTGTGCATTATGGTCTATTACATTATCGCACTCAATGGCAAAAACGAACAAACAAAACACAGATTTGAAATTCAGCATGTAAGATATCTAAACGTAAAAACGAAATAATAAAACAAGAAATCCGAAACTGGTCGTATGCAATTTCCCCCCTATAACTTGCTTTGGCAAGTGTAAAGCGTAAGCCCACCGAAACTGCCAATTTCCAGAGTTTCGGAAGACGCAGTGCTCAAAACCGCGACCCGAAGCTGCTTACCTCGTCCTGGTCCTCCCCAATGCAGTTCCATCCGCAGAAGTACCATCCCCCGTACTTATCCCCATCAAGCTTGGTTTGCTCATGCGTTAAATCGGTTAAATATTTTTGATGAAAAACAATTTGGTAATAATCGTCACCATTGTTTGCATATACAAAATGTAGTTCCTGACGCCGTCGTCGACAAATGGTAACGGTTTTGCGCACCATAACCGGATACGAATGTGGAAATGAATGTGAAGGATGACAAATTTTTCTACCTTTATCATTCGTGTATTAATCGCTAAGCCAGCCCTGTTACTTGCAACTGCAACATTGAATCCAACATAAATAAAATTATTTGCTTTAGAAAGTAAAACATTAATGGAACTGTGGGTTAGTAAGAAAGGATTAAATAAATATATACCAAATATAAAACTTAAAGCCTGGTCTTTTATTTGTCTTTACTTCGAGCATGGAATATTAATTTTAGTGGATGTTTCATTATTTATTTATTGATTCCAAAAGAGATAACGATTGCATTGCACCCAGTAACTTAATGCCTTTGGCCGGATTCTATGGTCGGTAAAGTCCTAGATTTAAATTAATTGCGAGCAAGCTGCATGGAATGGATTCCAGCTCTGGTTTATTTCATAAATTAGATCAGTCTGATCAACAAATGCATTGATCCATCAGCACAAATACAATATTGACAACGAAATGAATGCATTGACTCGGGGTTCGCCATCAGAGTAGGGCTCCGTGGCTATTACGAGGGAGGTAAGGCCCATAATGTGGCAGTTTTGTCCGCGGATGTTGAGATGAATGAAAATTCTGTTGGATGCCATCGAATGGTAATTGCTTTATCTTTATGCTCTGCCACCACCACGGAGGATAGCTCATGTGCCAGATCACCTTGCAGATCAGTAAGCTTGACCGAATTGTCGTAGCTGCAAGTCAGCATGTAATAAGCGGAGGGAGAAAACCGAACGCACCTTTAAAAATACGAGAAATAGAGAAACTATAAGTTTGTTTACCCTAAATCCTATGGGCATTCGCATTACCTTATTTCAGCGCTGTGAGGATAAAACCGCTGTATTGGCCGATTTCCACGGATGTCATATAGTACGCACGAGCTATCCGCATGCCCGGATACGAGAAGCCTGCCTGTCGGATCAACGCAGACTGCTGTCACAGCAGAGTTTCCCAGTGTGTTATCCTTACGCTCATGCTCTAAGGTGTTTACCGAAACATTTACTCGAAGATCCCAAAAGCGTATCGTTTGATCCTGAACACAAAGTCAACTTATATGAACATATATCAATGGGCAAAGGCTCGGGCTCATGATTACCTGTGATCCGGATACGAACATTGCATTATTCCAGCTAAACAGGGACAAAATATGACCGGAATGGCCACTGAACGCCTGGAACGGGGTTCCTGAAACACAGTCGGTAATGTAGATCTTGCAGTCCCCAGCGCCACCGCTCACTAAGAGTCGCGACTTCGTGGAAGAGTCGTCAAGGAAGCACATGTCGCGAACAGTTCCATCGTGTATATTCAGCTCCATCTCGTGCCCCACCAGCTGATTTGTATCGTTGTTAAATCTCATATACTTGATTGTTTTGTCGTTTGATCCTGTGGCAATGATCTCTCCATCTCTGGACCAGCAAGTGCAGTATATTGATCCTCGATGGTGCTTCGTCCGCTTGCACAGAACTGACGGTGGATACACGGTGGTCTGCTGCCCATTTCTAACAAAATATTGTACATTTATTATTTATTCACACTTTGTTCCGCAAAAAATAGCCATCAAATACTACCTTAGCTTGGAAAGTTGTGGATACTGACAGATCCGAAAAGTCTTTGAATTGGAGCCCACCGCGTACAACTTTCCATTCGGATGAAAATCGACACTCCGAATCGCCTGTGAGTCGCACAAAGTTGTAACTGCTTCGAAGTGTGGCCGTTCTGCATCGCCCTTTTGGCAAAGAGAAATTTAATTTGATTAATTATCTAAACAGTTATTAAATGCTGTAGTCAATGCATGCTATAACTATACTACATAAGTACATAAGTATATGCAAATATTTATGGCCTTTGTGCCTCTACTCTTTTGTTGCCAGCCAGCAAACTGCTTGCGTGTTCAAAATAAACAAATGCGTCTAACCAGCGCTTACCTTTCTTAAATCCAAGTCCTTATCTTCAGAATTCATGAATGCTGGGTTTATCTTTAGTCTTTTTGTAATTCCAAATTGCAAATAGCGTATTTTTCAGGTATTCCGAACCAATGTATGTTGTTCAACAAGCCCCTCAGCCATCGATGGTAATAGGCCGTACGACTCTCCACGGTCCAATTATTTATATTTGAGAGAGACGGGCAGTAGTCTGTGTTGGGCAACGTTTTCATAGATCTTTAGCGCCCATACGATTTGTATGCGTGTTGGGTGGAATTGAAGCAAAATAGTTTAGAATAGTAGTTATGTATTGAAAAGTAGTAATGTTCGTTGGCGAGGTAACCAACGCAACGATACTTTGTGATGTACATAGCTTAAATTTAGTCGGCCTGGTTTTTAGTACAGAGTCAGCCCCCTCAGTAGTGTGTTTGGAGTTTTCCTTCGGTAATGCAAACCACACCTCACATTCGATCAGTATTGTGACAGCCTTTGAGCCAAATACGAATGACAAAAATGGTACACTGGTTCATTATTGTTACAATTTTTTGATATTTTATTTACGTAAAAATAAAACATTTGGACATATGATTGAATATAACAAATTAATAACCTTCTTTTAAAAATTTGATTGATTCTTAAACTTGTCTAGTGTTGCGAACTCTTATAAAACTGAGCGATTAATGCTCTTAAGAGTAAATTGTTATAACCTCGCGGCCTCCACCACGAACCATTAACACTTTTTCAAGACCCTCTGTTAATACTTCCAGAAATTCCATATCTAAAATAGAGAGGAAAGTCAAAAATGAGTCACAGTTCCCAGGTTTGAGAAATCTTTCGGTAGATCGATCTTCTTACAATTGCTTTCACGCTCCGCTTTCACTTCCCTAGGTGGTCCTGGTAAATTCATGATGACCAACTGGGCATCCTGTGACTTTTCCACAATAACCTCGTTCAGTTTTATTGCTGTGTGCATGCGACGAACATTGAACTCGTCCCTGAAATTGTTTTTTTTTTTTTTTTTTTTAATTGATTAGGTCCATCAACTGGACTGTTTAGGTTGTGCCTTACGGTTTCACATTGGACTTGAATTTGCTGTCGGCTTTCTCTGTCGATTCATCCTTTTTAGAAGTAGCTTCGGGAGCGTCCGTCTCTTCGGGACCGTCCGAATCAATTGAGTTACGTTTCTCATCGTTATGAGACTCCTGCAGAAGTAACGAACATAAATATTATCAGAACAATAGAAATGTAGACCTATCTACGAATGACAAGTGCCGTTGATTTTAAAAAACAGAAAAGTTCATGTAAACTCATTGTCAAAAAGCGAAAATATTTATAAAACCAATAACCATCAAATCAATCACAACTAATTTGATGTACGAATGGATGGATCCAAAACAAACGTCTCTATAGGTTTTACTCTTTACGTGTTCGTTGATCCCACTTAACTTTTATGTATTGACGGACTGGAAGTAATGGTAAATAATAATTTAAAAAGAGTACATACGTGATTCTGTGTTTCTTCTATAGTTGGATCGGCAAACCGAACTTTCGACGCCGTTCTGGTGGCGTCATAATGGTGGTCTACAATTGTTTGGACCTGGAAATGTTACCATGATGCATATGAAAAAACGGTTGATCAAGGGGAAGAGGCCAATACTTTTCAGGGGAATAAAGTACGAGTATTCTCGGGTTTCACACAACAAACTAACACTGGAACTGTCTGTTATACAATCTGGGTATTCCCAATGGAAAATTTTCAGCTAATCTGATCATTTGAATATTACATTTGGATCCGCATGCCGAAATTATTTATTAAAGTGCAACAAATATCAAGATTGTATAAAGCTCGAGGATAGGATACCAAGCTGGATAAACCACTCAAGTGCTTTGGGTGTATACAAAAGCTATCCAAATGATTACACATGACGCAAACCGCAGCACACTGGAGTAAAAGTATTTATGTATATATGTATAATAGGGCAATGATTCGATATCAAACTTTTGGCACAAACCAAATTGTATAAAAGAACATTAAAATGAAACTCATATTTGGAGCATGGTGGAACTTAGAACTATCCAGCATAAAGCAATACGTCAATTATATCAAATATTATTATGTACGTATTTATATAAAGAGTATGCTGATTTAGACAATTAGACGTGACCATGCCAGCCCAGCAATTGCCGATGATCTGTTCATGAAGATTACTTTCTAATGAATCACAGTTCTGAGAAATCCCGTCTCCTGGGTAGATGGATATGTATTTACGCAATATGCAATATCGTAGGGTGAGTATTCCTATACTGGTACAACAAAGAAATGTATGATATGAAAGGATGACAATGAGAATCACACATGCTCATTTACATAGATTGAATGATCTGACGAGATACATGTATGTATTTGTATATAGTATGTACATAGCTAAAAACACATAGAATGTTTGGGCTAATGAAAAGTTTGTATGTATATGTATCTTTATATATAGTGATTCTGTATATATTCTTTACCAAAGACAATTTATTATCACTGGGTGTTTCCTTAAAATCCATTATAGTCTGAACCTTTTGATTTTCAAATATACAAAGTGTAAAGTTTTAATTTCGATCTCAATATTCATATGGATAAGAAGTCGATATATTGATGGGAAACAAAAGCCGATACGGTTTCTACTTTTTTCTACAGTTGAAGTAAGTAAATAACTTATTTTCGTATAGAAATAATGCTAATAAAGATTTAATTAAATAAATAACTTAATGTGCAGTATGAGTTGTAATCATTAAAACTAAAAATATATCATGTTAGTATGAAGACCTGAACTTTAAATAATCTGCAGTACAGATGTCATGACCATAATGAAACGTTATTTTTGTTTTTTTCTTAACAAAAACCAAATACTCACCACTTTGGAGTTCTCTTTTTTATTTAAACCTAATGCTCTCAGCATCTGATTGCGCTGTTCCATCATGAGTGTTCTCTCATAGGTATACGCAGAAATGTCGCTGTTATTCTGTAATGGTTTACCAATAAAGAAAAATATGTATATGATTTATTAAGCTTTAGCTAGCTCCATGGGATGGGAAGGGTGGTTTGTTATACCATTTCAACCACTTCAACATCGGCTTCAATTCGAAGGTGGTACAGGAATGTCTTAAGATCTTTCTTCATTTGAATCGAGTTGTCCTCGATTTGAGCAACTGTGAAGATGCGTAGCTTGCAGTTACGCCATGTGCGATGTTGTTTTAGCAAGAATGGCAGCAGCATAAGCAAACCTCCGTCGTGGACTATCCACCAAATATCAATATTGCCACCAATCTGAAAATTGTATACAATTAATCGGCAAGTTAAGGAAAATGGGTTTCTCTTTACTACTTTGTGGTTTGATTCTGGATAGAAGTTGATTCCCTTTGGCACCATCAGAGCCATGTGGCAGGCAGCCACTGTTCGCACTGTTTGGATAAAAGTCCTCCAGCTATTCCGGCCCTCTTGCCTCCAGCTATACGGCCAGCCAATGATGACTGTGTTTGGCTTCATTCCCCCCAGGCCAATTGTTTGGATGCTGTAAGAAAGATGATATGCTGATGCTACGCGCTCTCGTTGTTAGGCTCTCGGTATTCGGTGACCAACTTACACTGAACTTAGACCTTCTCCGATCTGTTGCGCCACCAAAATATCACAGAATCCCTTTACCTTCTCGTCGGTCATGTACTTCCGCAATGTGGATTTTGCGTCGACGGCTTTGTTTGCAATTTTTGTGTGGTCGCCTTTTAAAACAGACACACAAATTGTCAATCCTTTGCCAGCTTTTAGCTGAGTAGCAAAGGAGAATATTTTCCTATACTTTGGCAAGAGGTTGTCGTTGAGCTTCGAAAGCACCAAGATTTGCGGACGCCAATTTTTCGTATGCGGTGGGCCTTCCTCTAGACGGAGAAGGGAGAACCTCGCGGCAGTGAGCGCCATTCCACGAATGCCATCACCCCACTCCTTCTCGGCTCTGCAAACGTAAAACAGGTGCAGAAAAGTTATAATTCCATCACATTCGAATATTTTGATGTATCATACCCGTGGTATTCTATATATTTGTATATGACGACGGCCATTCCCATAGCAAGCAGAGCAAAATACCAGGAAGTCATGATCATGACTGATATGCAGAGCGTCAGGCCTATCAGGGATAAGCTCCAGTGATAAAACTTAAAGCGCGGTCTCCAATTCGGTGTTCTGAGTAAAGTTTGTACGGCGCAAGCCAAATTTACGAATCCGTAGCACATGAGGAAGAACATGGATAGCAACGGCGCCAGCAAATCCACATTACCTTTTGATACAAACAAAGCAATATGACATTTTATAATAACATGAAGCAAATTCAAGCTTACCTAGGAGAATGCCGCACTGGCAAATGACTATAGTCAGAAGCAGAGCTCGGGTGGGTTCTCCGCGTTTGGAGGACTTTGCAAACGGCGCCAAAAATGGTATGATTTCATCTCTGGCTATTGCTTGGAGCAAACGGGGGGCGCCAGTCAAACTTTGTAGTCCAGCTCCAAGGGTCGATAGGAACGACCCAATCAGTATAACCCATTGGTTTGGCCAGGCGATATTTGCAACGACCAGTTTTCCGCCGATCGATTGTCCAAATCTAGAAATAGGTTAGAATTTACCCTATTAACTCTTTCCAGAATGGGTCAATTGGCAGCTTACTTGTCTCTCAGCAGAAGATTGTCCACTGTGCCGGCGAAGAACAAGACGCTGGACAAGTAAACAGTGCTGGTTGTCAGGATGGCACATATCGTTCCTATTGGTATACTTTTCTGGGCATCAGCAAGGTCGCCCGAGCGATTGGATCCAGCCATGATGCCTGATTTGTGACAAAAACTCGGGTCAAATAAGGATAACTTTTATATGAATAGAAACAAAAACACACCTGTGACCGATGGGAAGAAGATGCCGATAAGCAGCGTAAAGGTAGTGGTTATATCGGCCATAATTTGATTGTAAGATTCGTTTCCGATGTTCTCAATGTCAATCGAATCGTGGCCATACGATATAAGCTGTCCTTTCTCCAAAAACGAGGGGAAGATATTATCATAGAAAACGCCGCTGGCAAGTCCTTTGATGCCCTTCACTTTCGACACATTATTATCTATTAAGAAACAAGTCGGATTTTAAAAGGTTTCTGCTTTAAGCGGTTTGTATCTTCATTACTTAGGTAGTAATCATCGCAACGGTTATTCGGGCAATATATATCGCGCATGAATGAGTCATCCTTTGTACAATTGTCTATGGGAATGTCCTTCAGAAGTCGCTTTCCAAGGACACACATGCTGCAATCAAGCAAAATGTTATTTTCTATTCTCACAAGATACGATGACTGCACTTACTATAGCTTTTCGTTGCCATGAATATTGTCAAAAATACCGACATACACTGCTATGATTGAGAGTATTACACAGGCCAGTGCCACCGTGGCAAACTTATTGACAAACTTGACGCCCACGAACACAATTAAGCCTTGGGAATTGAAAGACAACCATTAATTCTTGCCTTTCCTCATCAGATTTCAGCTTACCCATAAAAATGAGCAATACTGTGCCGTAGACCCGGAAGTTATTGTACATGGCATCGGCATCCTTTGTGAAGTCCCCAAAGATCGATGCCCAAGGTGCCATATATGTCTGTATGTAGTGAATGAGTGTGTCGTTGTAGACATATTAATAATAATTAATTAATTAATAATTAATATTACTATGTTTTTGCAGAACTTACCAATACAATCTCAACAGCACCAACAATGTACATCGCCGCTGCCAGTGTGGTGCCTGTATAGAACAGCATTCCCACCGCACCGCCAAATTCAGGTCCAAGGGATCTGCATATGAACACAATACATTTAAAATTGAGAGTACTCGGATTTGGGGTTTTAAAATTACCGTGATATCATGAAGTAACTCCCTCCCGCCGGCACTACTCCATTTGTTGCAATAGCTGACATCGAGATCGCCGTTAGCATCGTCTAAGAAAATTGTGTTAATAGAGCTAAAGTGGGCTGGAAAATTGTCGCAGTCTCTTACCACACAGCAGCAGGTCAATACAATTAAGAATCCACATATTGCGCCAGCCGTACCGACAACCCATGTTAACCGAATGAACAATATTACTCCAAAGATATTTTGAATGCATGGCAAGAACACTCCAATTAGGGTACCTACAAATACAAAGCCAGCCAGCCAGAGAGAGATCGTTTACTCAATTCGAAAGAACCTTATCCAAGTGAGGCATACATAGTTATTGAGAATTTCCCACGAATCAGTTAATTATTTATTTACGATTATTTGGTGGCATTGGCGGAACGCTTTGGTTCCATTAATTTAAGATTATTTCACGAGAAATACTCTCACAAGTACTCGCAAGTTAATTAATTTGTGTACAACATACCCATTCGCGCCGATGGTGCTGGTGGCTTTGCATCGGGATCAGTGGCCGCTGGTATCGTGTTTTCATAATTGGCAATTGATGAAATGAATGTTGATATATGGGGCCTGGTCGCCAAATCATCATCGTATAGATAGAGATTTGGGTCGATATTAGACTTCTGGTTTTCTTCAGCCCTGTGGATATCACCTGAGTCTGCAAATATCATTAGATGTTCATTCAACAAACGTATTGGCTGTACTGTAGCAAGAAAGAGGCGGCGTCAGATATGTCATAGTTTTCAAATGACTAGCAATATATATGTTACGGTAAAATAATCTAAAAGTTTTATAAACGATTACTTAAGTATAGATCGAAACTGTAGTGTGAGACAGCTTGTTGTAGAATTCGTCCACTAAATCGACAAAACTTCTTAAAATCTAAATACGATTATACATAAGAGTACTTGTATGTATAGTCAGTAATCCTCAGCATACCATACCTTCATTTTTTGTATCGTGTACTGTGCCATTGTGTTCGGATGATATTATTTCCATTTCATCCGAATCATCTTTTGCACTGTTACTTTGCATGTTAACGTTATGTTCGGGTTTAAAGTTTTCTTCTAGATTGCACTTTTTCACTTAAAATTAGGTAACACTAGAAAGTATTTTGAACGAGAATTTAGTAGGCATAGCATTGGACATATCTTGTATATGTACACATCTACATATATGTATTATATAACCAAAAGGCGTGGTCCATTCAGTGCGGGTGCGGGCCGGAGGTAGGTTTTTCTGCTCCTTTGAAATAGGTTGATTTGCAATCACTTGGGATTGTATTAGTATATTCGCTCACACACAGAAATATGTATACTCGCACTCGTACTTGTATGTGGAGAGCTACTTGAATGAGTATTAAAGGCAGGAGATCAAAACAAGGAAAGGGCCACGGGTGCTCCAGAGTGAAGTGCGGACATTATGCGAATAGAGGGCAGGATGCTCACACAGTGGCATCGCGGACGGAAAATATGTAACCGATTAATTTAGGTCAAGGATTTTCAGCCCCTCCCCGTGCGTAGGTAGCTGAACGGCAGTGAATTGGTGTTATTTTGGAATGTGGAATGGCTCGTTCGCCTGGCCTGGCGGAGCACCCATCAATGTTAATATTTCTTTGAACTGTTACGAAACGAAGAAGCAAACAGCACTTGAAACATTCGAATACGAATGGGAGAAAATACGCACGCCCTCGGATTATGACTTCTCAATTTGCAAACACTTAATAATTTAACGCACTTTTATTCATGTGTGTGTTTGATTATTGTTGGATTTTCGTCGATTGTTAAAAGAATGTTACATATTATAAGCGCTCAAAAAGAACTGGTTTTTCATGTTTTTTTAAATTTATTTGAAAGAATATTCTTTCTAAAATTATTTTAGGCGAGCGAAAACGCTCAAATGTATGCTACTTCTCGTCCAGATTAATAGAAAAACTAAGAAAACTGTGTATTCGGCCGAATAAAAATTATGTTGCCCAGGACCCTGAGCGTTCAATTGAGATGAAATCGAAAGCTTTTGTCTACACACAATTTCTATACACACACTCTTGCCGAGAGAGATGCGAAAAGAGAGAGAGAGAGCCGTTGCAGGTGAACATTTCTTGGCCTAAGGCACACACTCGCACACTAACTCGCAGTAAAATTTACCAGGACAATCCAGCACTCTCGCACAGCATCCATCCGCTGGAAATGCCAGGGCGAAAGCTGCGCTGTCTGGGCGGCTAGGCTGGCGCTCGAAGCTTTTCACAGGTACCCCCTGAGCTTGCTTTACAGCTGAGAGGAAATGTGTCAGCAGGGCACTCTGGATTTTCACAATTGGGGCACAATGAGATTGAAATGCAAGCCCATAAGCTCTATACGACGGTACAGTAGTCACCAATGGAGCATGGAAATTTACAACGCCTATCAATACAAATATTTTATAGCTCTTAGCTTTAGCCAGAAGATGCGCATGTCCTCAATATATACATAAATACATACATAAATTAGTCGAACATCCCTAACAATTGATTGAATACTTTCAACATTAACATAAAGATCATCAAAATTTTAGTTTTTCTCGCAATAAGTTACGTAATGTTAATTGATTCTCACCTAGTGTTTCATCGTGGATATCTCCCAAAAGCTTTCCACTTGCTTCATCTTGATGATAATCCAATACGGTGTCTTCGTCTGCTTTTGTGACTTGAAATCTATCTGGCATATTTGTTATTCAAAGGCACTCTGAAAATGGAGAAAATATTGTTAATGAAAAACTTTCATCCGCTACTAAAATAATACGCGGAGATCATTTTATTGTAATTTCTTCCCCAGACTTTTTCACCAGGATCGACCCATATTAGAAAACCAAAGAGGGCCACGCCACGCCTAAGTCATGTTTTTGTTATATCACAGCAAGTGTTTTATAGCTTACTGATATCATATGAAAGGGTGTGTGAAATGGATTTATTCATTTTAGAATCATCCAAAATATCATTAATAGATAAGTCTTTCAAAGTTGAAGAGAGTAACTCTTATATAATCGATTGCACAATAACTGGTTTGATTTATCATGACCCAATTGCCCGGAAACATAAGATACGATAAATCAATTCCCTGGTTGCAGAAAAGTTTTCATATATCAGCTAAGAAATCAGTGCTACTACCATTCTGAAACATGGGTACAAAGAAATTCCAAAATACATTTTTTTCTGACACTAAATTGCATGTGATTTCCCATGCGATTATTTGAATAGAAAACCCATAAGATAATATGAAATTTAGATACACAAATGGAGGGATTGGGAACCAAGAACTATTTTCACTACTCTACTGCACGCACATGCCCATAGATATGTACATATGTACATATGTAAATGCATACAAGAGTATCTCCATCCAAGATTATCATGATCATTTTCCTCTTTGATTTCGGATAGCAGCAGTCAATGTGCTTAGTTGTGTGCGCGACGGGCTTCAATTCATAAATATGTATGAATGTGTATACGTATACCATACAAAATCATTAAGTAGAATATCGTTCATAAAAATCTTCATACACATACTATGTACATATGTACATGCATAGCCGTACATGAGTGCATTTCAGCAGGAACATGTGTAGTTATCCGCACGTAAAAATATGCCTCGGATAATATGAACGGGTATGTATGTGCATATGTACGTATTATCTAACAACAATCAAAACGTAGGGAGCAGATACAGCACTTATTGAAGCTGTCGCACAATTAAACAAATCTCACATTGGCCAAAACAAAGTTACATATGTATATAAATATATACATACGTGCATATGCACAGACATTTCATACGATTAAGATACGGGAAAAATGTAATGTTTACGCGTAGAAAATTTTGTATTTCCATTTACTTGCAAAGCGCCTGGTAATCGGGGATCGTCGACACTCTGCGGGCTTGTAACTTCCTTTCTTGTTATTTATTAATTATTGTTACTCCTTCTTTTCTCCTTAATTTTAGTGAACTTTTCAATTGTACGAATAAAATAAAACTATCATATTAAAGGCGCATGAGTAATACAAAATGATTTTCTACTGTATATGATTTGGAATCGCGAGTTGGGGGAAATACTGTTGTATTAATGAAAAAGTATAATTGAAATCAAATGTAACGCATAGGGGAACGCATGAGTAGCGAGTGTATTTTGGAATTATTTTTATTGCAATTAGCACCCTAATTCCAATGATACCATTTTTTGATAATTTTTATTCAGCATTTGTGAACGCCCAAATTTACGGTTTCTTGTCCAAATTTATAAAGCAGTTAAAAGTGGCTAGCACGCGTACATATGTGCATATATACATGAATACATATATATATATATATGTGAATACGTGTCATAATCGTAGCTACAAATATATGATATTACATTAAATCCAGCATTTAGTTATTTTAATTCTCCTTCGTACAGCCGGTATATATGTACGTACATATGCTGTATGTGTATGTATGTATGTATGTATGTATGTGTGCTGTGTGATGTAGGTTCATATGTATGTACATATACATACATTTGTTTATGATGTATACGGTTGATGATTTCGATGAACATCAATCAAAAATACTATCATGCTAAATATACCAGAATGTATTTTTTTTTTGGTCGCATCCACTACGCTTGAAGCTAAGACAGAAAACCTTATGGGAGAAGCTCGATCCGGTTGTTTGAATCTTTGGCAAACATCGTTACAGCTCAAATTGTGTAACAGGTATTAGACTATAGTGCTATGAGTAAGCGGTTCCCAAAACTAATTAAAAATTGTGTCTCATTGTGCTACATCTCTTTTTCAGACTAGATTGGTCTGATAATTGGTCGCATTGCAGCACACTTAAATGTTTTATTTTATTTTAGCAGGAATTTGCAAATTTTGCTTGCATTTATTTCAAAAGCCGTAACAACTGGTAAATATTAATAGACTTTTCGTTGTTGTTTTTTTGTGTTTTGACAAATAATGTATATTTTTTCTAATATTTTTTTCCCCAGCTGCTCGAGGGCTAAAATGCTAATTAAGATCAAAATAACATTAAAATTATCGTCAATGGCCTAAAATTATATAGGCCATTATATAGGTTTTAGTTAGTCATTATTCAACGGAATATCAAAATTGAGCAATAGTAGCGATTTTACTCTGACGTTTTATTTATTTGACCTAAAACTTTTTTTAGACTAAATCCAACAAAAGCAAGTATTTAAAACAAGCCAGTCAAGTAGAAAATTGATTCAAAAATCGTATAAAATTATGTGGGCATGGCCTGAATATTCCACGGAATATCGAAATCAGTATATTTACGTATATTTTTAAATGAGACGGTATATTTTGGTATATTTCTGAGGGTCATACTGTAGAAATACTAGTTTTCGCCGCGCTCCTATGGTATTTTTGTCAATTTCATCAATCTATTAATTTCATTTTCAATTTTATATAAAAATCCAATAAATGCAAGTATTTCGAACAGGCCAATCATGTATGGAATTGATTCATCAATCGTACAAAATTGAGTGGGCATGGCTAAATGTTCTATATAGCTAGTAATATTCAACGGAAGAAAGAAAACGAGGAATATGTATAGTAGAACTTGAATTGGTCAGTATTTTTACGGTATATTTCCAATTAAGCCGGTATATTTTGGTATATTTCTGAGGGTCGGACGGTATATTTGATCACTAGATCAATCGGTCGAGTGATGCCAGATTTTGAGCGTCAAAATATGCTAAATTTCACAAAAATAAAAGCTAGAACAAGCTAATAATTGTTTAAAAAAGGCTAAAAAAAAATAGGCCACAAATAAAACTGCACATAGATATATAGATTTCTAATTGGGTTATCATTGCAATCCATATTTGTTAAATTTCAAAAGTATTTTAGTCGTTAGTGTCAAACAATTAAATATTTCTAAAACAAACGCTATACATAATATTAATATCAATATTAACGATATTCTTAACGATATTCATTTGACGGTAGACTTAAGCACTAACCTTACAGTATATAGATGTGCCAGTTCAGACAACGAAAGCGTCACACACTAGAGCGTTGCACACCCCAGAGTGACGTCATAATGTATGGTTAAGCATTTTCGTAATTTCCCAAGAATATCTGTTTTCAAGCTAGATCTAGTCTCAAATAGGCTAAAATGGCAACACTGGTTCTTTTCTATCGGCGTCACTGGTGCTTGTCTATATAGAAATCAAATAAATGCAAGTATTTCGAATAAGCCAATCATGTATAGAATTGATTCATCAATGGGTTAAAATTATGTGGGCACGGCTAAATGTTCTATATAGCTAGTAATATTCAAGGGAAGAAAGAAAACGAGGAATATGTATAGTAGAACTTGAATTGGTCAGTATTTTTACGGTATATTTCCAATTAAGCCGGTATATTTTGGTATATTTCTGAGGGTCGGACGGTAAATGGCAACACTGGTTCTTTTCTATCGGCGTCACTGGTGCTTGTCTATATAGAAATCAAATAAATGCAAGTATTTCGAATAAGCCAATCATGTATAGAATTGATTCATCAATGGGTTAAAATTATGTGGGCACGGCTAAATGTTCTATATAGCTAGTAATATTCAACGGAAGAAAGAAAACGATGAATATGTAAAATAGAACTTGAATTCATCAGTATATTTTTGGTATATTTTGAAAATGAGACAGTATAGTTTGGTATATTTCCAATTAATTCGGTATATTTTGGTATATTTCTGAGGGTCGGACGGTAAATGGCAACACTGGTTCTTTTTATCGGCGTCACTGGTGCGTGTAATTTTCGCGAATTTTATTTGAACAAAAAAGGTAAGTTTTCCTAGGGTAATTACTGTTTTTGAAAGGTACAGTAGACGGGGAAATAATACGTGGTGTTTGACTCGCACAAAGCAAATGTGAATTTTGATTGACTAAGAAATATGAACGAATACGAATTCTGCGCTTTGCGCCTGGACGCTCTTTTGCGTTAACACGTGTTTTCTAATAACGCGATGTGTGGTAAATTGATTGAATATGTACTATGTACGTACATATTCACACACATATGTATGTGTGTAAGGGCGATCGGTATGGCGTATTACTTTTATAAAATCAAAAAATATGTCTGTTAAAATGTGTATCATATAATTATTTATATTGTGTGTAGTATATATGTTGGTGTAAAACTGTATGTTTTGATGTGTGCATTCAACTTTAGATTCCTTTACTCAGAATTTCATCAGTTTAGATGCCCATGGGGACGTACATACATGCAGATGTATGTATGTATGTATGTTGGTGAAGGGCGTGTATGCTTCGGCATTTGAAATAAGTGTTAAATAAGATGGTGATGCAAATGGTGAGAAGATGTTAAATAAACAATTTGGTTTGTTCAAGAATTCCGCATTTATTAAAAATGGACGCTCCACCAGAGGGACACGTAGAGGCCGAGTCCTGTAATGAGGTCGACGACGAGAAGTCTGTCAATTCCGACTGCCAGTCCATGTAAGTAATGTGAACTTGAGGCTTGAAGACGACGTCTGAAAATTGTGAATTGCAGGCCGGCTTACATGAATTCAGTTATGAGGCGGCAGTATTTGCAAGAAATGGTTAAAGCGCTGCCAGTTCCAATTCAAAATAGAATTGTAGTGCTTAAAAATCTGCAGTTGGAACATCTGAAGATCGAGGCTGAGTTCTTCGAGGAGGTTTACAAGCTGGAGCAGAAGTATCAGCTCAAGTACCAGCCCATGTTCGATAAACGCAAGGAAATTGTTATCGGTACAGTAGACCCCCCTGTGGAGAAGCCCAATTGGACAGAGCCCGAGAACCCTGAAACAGAATCCGAGGCCGAAGAGCACTACAGTGAATCACTGAAAGCTATCAAAAGTATTCCCCAAGATGCGAAGGGCATTCCCGGATTCTGGCTAACGGTTTTCCGTAACACTGCTATTCTGTCGGAAATGGTCCAACCACACGATGAACCAGCTATGCGCAAACTAACTGATATATCCATCAAATACGATGATGGGGTATGTAGAAAAGCAACTAAGCTTCCATGCTTAGTACTGCATAGCTCATTTTTTAACTATTTCAGCACTCTTACACATTGGAGTTCCATTTCGATAAGAATGAGTACTTTTCGAACACAGTTCTTACAAAGCAGTACGTTCTGAAGTCCACTGTCGACCCTGATGATCCGTTCGCCTTTGAAGGACCAGAAATCTACAAGTGTTCGGTATGTTGGGCTGACTGACGTTCAATGAATGAGAAGCACAAAAATGATTGTATTCAATTGATTTCAAGGGATGCAACATTACCTGGGAGAAGAAAATGAACCTAACTGTCAAGACAATCAGGAAGAAGCAGAAGCATAAGGAGCGTGGCGCAGTGCGCACCATTGTCAAACAGGTTCCAACCGATTCCTTTTTCAATTTCTTCAACCCACCAGAGGTTCCATCCGATAAGGAGGAAATTGATGATGAATCTCAGCAAGTATGGACATCTCATCTCATTTGGTAATCGAATAGCATCGAAATTACTAACTTGGGGGCTCTTTTTTTTGCAGATACTAGCAACCGATTTTGAAATTGGTCACTTTTTGCGGGCCAGAATAATTCCAAAGGCGGTGCTTTACTTTACTGGTGACATTGTCGATGATGAGGACGACGAAGACGAGGAGGAGTTCGATGAAAACGAGGAGGAGGACGATGACGATGAAGTTGCACCCCCAACCAAGGGTCACAACAAACATGCCGGTAACAAGAAACAGTCGCCCAATGACTGCCCCAACCAGTAGCCACAAGATATGATGGCGGTGTTTCATCGATTGGAATAGTGTTTACCGATATTATGTATATACATAATTCAAATTTAATTTGAAATATATTTTTGGTGAATTAAACTAAACGAAAGTGAACTACTAAACTGTGTGTGCAATTATTGTTACACCTAGGAAAACTTGATCTTATACTTTATATTAGAGCACTAAACATTATTAAAAATCTGGATAGTGTCTCAAAAGATGAAGGTGCTCAAATTGAATAGGCATTCGTGAGAATACAATATAAATTAAATGCTGGTTGTATGGTAGGATTCAATTTTATTAAATTACTAATGCTGGTCTAACGCTTACAGAAATTGGAACGAGCAGAAGTATGATGTGCTAAGCTACTTTTTTCCAGCTAACAGCTTGAGCTCCTTTTTTGATAAATTGTAAGGATAATGTAGACTAGTGGGGACGAAAATTTTCCCAGTAACTCGGCTGGAAAGGAAGACAAGCTGTGAGTGAATGTTCAACACATTTTATGCTTTCGCTACCTTCATCGGTAGAATTTCCTCGAACTTACTTGTCAAAGTTCTCTTCATACCCGACCGTATAGTCCGCTGGTATTTTCGCTACCTTTTGCAGGGCTATGCACTCTGATGGCGTCGAGTTAAGGGCGTAAAATGGGTAATCAAAAGCATTAATATAGATGTCAACGCAGAGCCCGTGGCTGCCAAGATGAAGTTGACTGGCTACTGATGGCTGGGCGAGTCCACAGCTGCCCAGCATTATATTTCTGTGGCAAGAGTATACAAACGTTCCTTTATCACGGCTTGAATGAAAGCATTGCACATGTTTGCCAGCTTTCGAGTGATCTACTGCAATCGGATCAAATCCGGGCCCAGCCATGTCACACGCTGCGCAATGAAAGAACAATTAATCAGTCGGTGTTTTAAAATGAAATTAATCATAATGGAATTACTATCTATGCTTTGGATCATATGTTGTGGTCCTAAGGAGCGGCCTACAGCAGACGCAAGTTGTCCCCCAAAGCTAAATCCAAACATATAGCCTCGTTTAGTATCGAATCCATTTTTAATGAGAGTCAGAATGACTGACACTATGGCACCAGTAATGTTCTCGAAATTTGTATACAACCTGTACGGCGAAAGGGTGTATAAGAAGAGGTTAGAAAAAATTGCCTGTGCACATTACCTTACCACCTTACCGCATATACGATGTACTCGCAATTATACTGTAATCAATACATATCACGCAGCCTCCACGATAATAGCTTAATCCTGGAATTGTTTGTGTCATATGTATGTACAGAACATTCATCAGAGTTATAGATAGATCACTATCTGCTTACGATCGATAAGCGCCAGAGACCAATCATCAGCACAGCTTTGGATCCAGCCATGTAAAACAATAGCAAATTTATCCGATGGGGAGCAGCCAGAAGAACCTTTATGCATATAGTCTTCGTCAAAAGCGGATGCTTCAAAGGTTTTTGTGTTGTTTCTAAACAAATTTAAAGATATACCAAAACAGGCACGTCTGCTGAAAAATCACTTACTTATAAAACATAAGTCGCATTGTTTTTTGCACCTCATATTTGGTTCTTGGTCGCAGAGCTTAAAAAGAAAATACTCAGATAGGAGAAAACCACTTTCATTGAGTGCAAATAGTACCTACATATAGTTTCATTTCGTGCAGCTTGACTCGGTGCTCGCCCTAAAATAGCATATTTTATGTTCAGCCTAGAATTAGTCTTACAAACTAAAAGTAGTAAAATAATTGCATTTAAACTGAGAAATCTAAGATATATCATTATCCACTTTTATTCATAGAACCATAAGTATGAAAACAGAGGTAACAATAGTACGAATCTCTTACGATCATAACACTTTATGAGAAATCAGTAGCCAGTTCCAGTTCCAGTTCCATCGATAGACTAGATCAATGTCAATCTATGTGGTTTTAGTTACTCCGTCCCATATCATACTAGTATAAGCCCAATAACTTAACATAAGTTTATTTAGATTATTTTAAAAGCAGTTTTATTTTAAAAATTGCAGAAAAACATGATATATAAGTAACATTACCACCAACAATATCTTTTTAAATCTTGTAATTCAATTTTTTTCGGCTATTAATTAGCATTATCCTCTTGGTTTGCACACACATTCGTATTTATCCAAACAGATAAAGATTATGCAGAACATTTTTCATTGTCATCAAAGTCCAACGTGTTCAGTACATTAACGTCCAGTTCGGGGTCCGCATACTCAAGAATGTTAAAGTCATCTCCTATTTCGGAGGTTAGCGATTTCAGTAAATCATCATCATCGCCCTCCCCTAAGCCTCCCAAAAGATCACCGAATCCAACATTTTCTAATTCTACTGCAGATGCTGTGCCCTCCTGCGACTCGTTCATCTTCACATCTTGGTCTAAGCTCCTTCCATCCGTTGGCGGTGCTTTTCCGGTAACACTTAGCATCGGATTGTTCTGTGTTAGTGGGGTATTAGACATCATGCCGAGCCGCAGAACATCATTTTGTAAAAATAATTCAGAATTTGCTCCTATTAGCATAGATTCTGAGCTATTTTTCTGCAATAGATTCCTTAGCTTTTTGTCTCCGATTGGTTCGGGTCCGTAAACTGAATTCAAATCCAATCGGTTGTCTACCGTGGACATTTTCACAGTGTTTGATGTTGATGCTGGTGATACATGAATAATTGCTCTTTGCATCGGGGCCTTGACTACATGATTTTCATTTAAACTTGGAGTCGCAAGGTGCGGGTTAACTGTAGCTGGCGGTGGGCCACCCACATAGCACGAGTCATATGTATTGCCATCTAAACAGAGGAGATTCATTTCTTAAAACGAACGTATTTTGAATAGTATACCTACTAAAAGTGACAAACATATTCGACTGCTCCTCCTTCACTTTACTTTGCTGCTTCCATGCGCGTCCAATGTCTTCTTGCTTTTGAGGCTTTGTTGGCAAAGGGATCTTGTTCTGTTCACGTCTCTGCCTTAGTGCCGAACGGTTATCCTTGGCTTTTTGTAAAAACGGAGCCTTTTTTTCGTTGCACAAGGAGCGCCATCTTTTTAGAATCTGCTTACAGCGATCGTTCCAATTCGGAAACAAATCCTTTAGATTCGGATGCTCAGTATTTGCATATAGTACAGCCGAAATGGTGGCCATAAGACCAAGATCTTTAACAAGAAATACGCTATATATATTGAAAATAAGATGTATAATGAATGGCTTTACCCTCGTCCTTGCGCATTTTTTCAGCTGTTTTCTGTGTTCCAGCATTCAAACTTTCCGTGACGGGCTCCACAGGCTTAGGCTCTTCTTCGACTCTCTTTTCGGTCTGCAAACACACCTGAGCCATCATGCTTTGCATTTTCTGCTTATTCGCATTCTTTGCACTCAAGAGATCCGGCTGTGAGTGATAGTGTAGCTGCTGAGCGGGATTAGCAACCACATTTCCCGGCAAATATATCTGATTGTGGAACTTCTGATCCGGGACAATCTGTTGAGGCATAGCGTAGTTATCCACCAAGACAACGGGTGATTCCCTGCAAATATAAAAAAAAAGTAGAAGTTTACCTCACCAAAATTGGAAGTATCCGCTTACCTCATTGGCTTTTCCATATTTTCAGATGATGTAACCGAATTTACAGACGTATTCATACCGTCTAACTCTGAAATATTTGGCGATGCCAAGGAATCTAATGGATTCCTGCTGGCCAGCACAGTATTCGATAAATCTGATTGTGAAGGATCTGTGAATAGAATATTAACTGACGCATTAAAAATTGCATTCTCAAATAACAGCAATAGCTCGTTTATTTACCAAAAACGTTTGCTGTAGATCCATTCGCTGTTTTCGGCTGTAGTCCTGGTCCAATTGATATTTGCTCTGTCAAGGCATTTTTATTTTCAGGTTGATTTTTCTCAGCTTTCACCTTCTTCAACGACTTTGCAGGACTCTTATTCACCAGTGACGCCTCCTGATCGGGGCTTATGCCTTCGACACGCGTAAAATACATTTTCATTGATGCGTCTATTTCATCAGAAGAGTCCGATTCTCCTAGCACTAGCTCGCCAGATTCCAATAGAGGCTTTCCAAAAAAGGCTTCTTGCAAGTACGGTGGATATGCTTCGATTAGCTTATTTTTCTGCTTTTTGCGTATTATTTTCTTTTTCTTGTCCATAACCATAATCGCATTCAGCTGGTCGGCCACTGGTGTATCTTCACTGTCCTTTTTGAGAGCTCGATTGCGAACTGAGAACCCACCAATGCCTAATTTTTGTAAGTTGCGCTGCCGTTTCTTGCGCAAAATATGCACACCTTCGTCATTTGTGGTAATAGTGAAACCTTCAGGAATGGGATTCTCCGTGCCATCCCAGACCATGCCGTCTTTGTACTTCTCACTCTGAGTTTCCTCAGCAGTCGCAGCATCACCTTGAGACTCCTTGCCATTGCCAATTGTTTGTCGCATCTTTCTCTTGCGTTTGATCTCAGTGGATAGGGACTTTATCATGGTTAATCCATTTTCACTCAGACATACATTGTCTATCCAATGAATAGCTTCTGGAGTGCTCTCGACCAGATCACTTGACAAAGTCATTTGGCCTTGATCCGAGCCACTTGCATTCTTTCCTTCTGCTCCACCCGCTCCACTGCCTGGATGAGCTGAAACCTTATTGGTCTGTGTCTGTGTGGAGCTACCGGGTTTTCCATCATTTAATGATAACGGCGGCTTTCCAGCGCAACGACATTTCAAGCACTTGTACACGTTTTGGTCATAGTACTCAATAGTGAGCTGAACGTTTATAGAGTCACACAGGAAATGCGACCAGAGCTCACAGGTTTCACACTGAATTATCATTTCCCCAGTACTGTAAGGATTCCGACACACTGAACACGACGATTGGCTGGTACATGAGGGGCACTCCGGCATGTTGGAGTCGCCATAATCACTCTTTTCCGTGGGATTCAGCCCGCACTTTTGGCACAGCGTACAGAAGGAACACTTCCAGTTGCCAGAAGGAACTGTCTCCAGTGGGGGATTGACACAATATATGTGGTATGAAATGTCACATTCATCGCACAGAAGAAGCCGAGCTTCGTCATTTTTCTTTCCACATCCCTCGCAGACCGTACAGTCCAGGCAACGCCAGCCCTTCTGTAGAATTCCCTTAGAAGGCTTGACACTGGCACAATACGAGTGATAGCATTGGCCGCACTGGGCACAGGTGATCATTACCGAGTCACTTTCAATACCCAATGAACCGCACATCACGCAAATATCCTGATTCAGCGTGAACTTGTCGCGAGTAGAGCATAATACCATTTTCTTGTCGCTGGTTAGGTCAGCATCCATATTTCGATTTGCATAACGATCGCTTGTCAGGTTTGGAAGCACAATCGTCCGTCCTTTGCCACGCGTGCTGCGTTTTTTGTTTATTTGCGAGAGTACGCCCATGCGATGGAGAAATTTTCCACTCTTTCCGCGTACGTTTGACAGACACATCTTCTTCTTCCCAGTGGGGGGCATCTTCTGAACATCATCAGTGGACGCATCCGCAATAGGCTTGGATTCTAAGGGATCAACAAGTTCTAGGTCTTTTACACTCAACTGCTCTGCTGAGGAGTCCATGGTAGTTAACACGATCGAGTCAATCAGCTGTTGAGGCTGGGCAGGGCCAGAAGAATTTTGCTTACAGTTCGGACAGATGTAATCATAGTCAGGATTTTGTTCTTTTTTCTTGTGGTAAGCCGTAAGGTCTGCTTCTTCATCACATGTACTGTGTACAAACCTAAAAAAGATTGCATACATAAATGTACAATACGAAACCATGCAGGACACGACTCAATGCTTTAAACATACTTGTGGCACCAGCTACATTTAACCATTTCCTTATGTGAAGCTGCTCTGTATGCTTTTTGACAAATCGGGCATGAAAATCCTTTATTTCGCTGTTGATAACAAGAATCGCAGATGGTGTAGTGGCTATGCCAACGAGAGGAGCTACCACCACCGGGAGTTCTGGATCCACAGTCTGTACAGACTCGACAGCGCTAAAATATTAAAATGTCATACCAGCATGCATATGAACATATATATTAACATCCTACTTACATTGCATTTCCATCCATATTTCGGAATTGCTGAGATTACGGGTCGAAAACACGAGGCGTGATATATCTTTTGACACTGCTCACATTTGACGTATTTCAAATCATTCGAGTCTTGCTGTCGACAAATTTGGCATTTTGTACAGCGAGCGCAGTTCCATCCAGAACGAGTGTCTGCAAAAAAAGTGGCACGGAATGAGAAAAGAATCAGAGCTGAAGTAAGAACATTACCTGGCAGATTGGCCAAGCCGATGCAGGTGGAATGGAAATGGTCTCCACAGGTGCTACACATTATCAGCTTCGATAGATCCCCCAACGAAGAACATGATAGACACTCAACGTTATTGTCACTACCTACAGTGCGACAAATTTATCGTTCAACAGTCAAGGGATGGTAACTAATCTTTAAATCTTACATATTAAAGGCACTTGGCTCAAATGCTCAGTGCAAAATACTGTAAAGCTCTCCAATATTAACAGACATCCGGCGGCAGCGGCACACGGCCAGTGATGCACTTGGCGGCAATTCATCTTGCAATTGATGGAGGCTCCATATCGGCCGCAGAAGTTGCATTTCTGTTTTAAGAACTCGCCAATATGGTTCACAAAATACGCGGCATCTGAGTCGGCTATCTGGCTTTTACGCAATGACCACATTACACACATTCGATGCACATAAACGAATCCTTCGTCGAGGAACTTTGAAGGATGCACGACCTCCGCCTGCCCGATTTTGTCCAATTCATAGTTGCTCTCGGCAGTGCAAGCCGCTTCCTGTTTAGATCCATAATACGATCGACTCCCATCTTCTGTGAGCCGATCAGGTGGATATTCATCTTTTATGTCCGCGGGAGCCTTTAGTTGGAGAATCGTCCCCTGGCCCAAGGCACTTCTTTCTCCGAGATTGCATAAACAGCACACCTTTCCCGGAAACTGTTCTGGCGAGTATGGAAGTTCATCGCCCACCGCAGGCTTCTCCTCAGCGTTCACCACCACGTTTGTATTCATTTATTTTATTAATTCCTTGCGCTTAATGTAAAAACAACATAAATTCACCGCTTTTATTTTGTATACATTAATTTAGTGTTTTTGGGTCGTTCATGAACGAACTAAAAAAGTTCACCTGTGGGTTACCTTACCTCATAATACTATTGCCTCTGTTTCGTATTCGGTACAGTGTTACTATCTAGATAGATGCCTCAGCACTAAATAAATAATTTTCTCCAATAAATTAATCAATTTTCTCTAAGATTGGCTAATTTTCAGTACTTCTCTTTATTGGACTGCATATAAAATATGGGGTCAACAAAAAAGATCAAACAAAATTTCTCCAAAATTAACTTTTTTACATGGTAGTTTTCCTACATATTAACTACATATTCATGTAATTATCAACATGTCACATTGGTTTAAATATGGTCGAGGTGGACTATTCTTCAAGTTAAGGCAGTGAGACCAGTTATAAAAACCGTATGGGAGAAGGGTGCAATGTGAGCGGGAAAAATATATGCCTTGGTTTAGATATGTTCTGTTGGTTTTTGGCTAATCTAAATCAGTTGCGCGTGTTGGCACAAAAGAGTCACAGCTTCTTCACTAATACCACTGGTAGACTAAACGCTACAATAATTTGTTTACCTTACTACACTGGTCTTGAAACGTAGTGCAATGGACCATACAATGCACGATGTATAAATATATCGGCCATCTCTTGTTAGCGAGGAGATTATTTGTACATAAAGTAAATTGTGATAAGATTAAAATAAAAAAAGTCAAGAGGAAAGCTTAAATAAGACAAGAACATGTAAATGAGCTATTAAGATGGCTATTTATCGTCCGCGAGGTACTCTAGCCCGAGTTATTCATGCTAAGTTTCACAATGACAACTCCCTGGACAGCATAGACACCCGAAGGGTATGGACCGAGTTTTTATGATTGTTGAACAGATCAGATCTAATAGTTGCTTGCTTCCAAATTCCAGTGGTACTCATTGGCTCACGCGTTGCCTCCCAGGTTTCAGTCGAAATTTGTGGCCCTTGAGCAACCGGATAGCACCACAGTGCACTGGCTGGAACGAACCAAATTACTGTCGGCTAACATATGGTTGCATTTATGGCACGCATTAGCCCGGTCAATTCTCCAGTTTTTCATGACTCAAACCGATATCAATGGCTTTCTAAAGCGTGGCTCAATGTTTATTCTATCAGAGGATCAATTCAACAAGTTGCTTGTAGCTGGAGGATTTTCCGCAACATCGGAGCCGGTTTGATCAAACCATTTTACTTATGTTGGAAAAAAATACTTTACGAATGTATTTTAGGTTACGCTTTTGGATATTGGTGCCGGCGACGGCGAAATCTCATTACGAGTGGCCAACACGGTGGCTGAACTAAGTGGAAATGCTAGCCTCAGAGTGTTTGCCACGGAAGCTAGCTGGACCATGCGAGATAGACTGAAGAAACTCAATTTCAATGTGATTACGGAGATTGGAGGCTTGCAAAACATGGAGCTGATATTATGCCTCAACGTACTAGATAGATGTTTTGACCCATTCAAACTTTTGGAAGATATTCACAATACACTCGCACCAGCGGGTCGAGCGGTCATAGCCTTAGTGCTTCCATATATGCATTATGTTGAGACAAATTCCTCGCATCTGCCTATTCGTTCACTCCTAGAAAGCAGTAACAACGGACGACCAGCGTCTTTCGAAGAAGAGGCCACAAAATTTATGGACCTGCTGGAAAACTGTGGTTTCAAAGTAGAGTCCTGGACGAAAGCTCCATATCTTTGCGAAGGAGATCTTCATCAGTCATTTTATTGGCTGATTGATCTAATTGTTGTAATTTCAAAGAAGGCATCTTAGACCGGTATCGTCTCCAATATTTAAGTTTTCCAAACTACAAAATTCAGTTAAAACGCGACGTACGACCGCGAGTACGAAAAATTAAGCTTGAATTCCTAGTTCTTTCTAAAATATGTTAATGGCCACGTTGCTAAGCTGAGCATTTATACTTAATACATTTATAGGCTATAGTTTAGGTATCAAATTATATTTGTCTAATAAATTACCAATAATGTAATTTACAAAAATTGTCTGAAATTATGGCATGGGCTGCGTTCGGGGTCACCTAAAATGGAGGCGAATCTGAGCACTACAAATATACAATTTAAAAGTTCAACGATGTTTATTATATTGAAATATAGCAGATAAGCAAGTCTTTGTTCACATATTTCAGAATGGAGTGTAACAGATGCGAACGTATTTGTTCACATATTTTTCTTAAAAATAGATATTTATTAAATTGCAATGGAATATAACAGAATTTTATATAACTCTTAAACAAAGCCAACTTTGTATACCCCTTATGTGGGTACTATCTAGATCTAGATCTAGAATTGTATACTTGTCGATATTAACTCTTTCAAAGAGTTTAGTCTTATGCATAATAATATCTCAGTTTTTTGGATTCGTAAACATCACCTCAAGATAGTTGTTGTTGTACACTATCATTTCAGAGTCTTCGGCACAATGATTGCGCAATGGCAATATTCCACGATAGAGATTTTTAGTGATATTGTACGATCGTTTAATCACAATGTTGTTCTCTCTGGCCAAATCGTTGAATACTGAATAATTGGAAAGTGCTAGCACCTTTGATAAAGATGTAAAACAAATTGGCGCACCATATGTTTGAAGAATCTTAATGAGACATTCCGGCCAATAGCGATCATCTGGTTCCTCTATCTGTACAGAACGAGGATAAAATTGGCCAACAAGAAGAGGGGTCATATTTCCGATCCCTGTTAAATCGAGCTGAAGCATTATAATCAGAGTGGGATCTATTTTGGTCGTCTTTGAAAAACTTGTAAACGTACCAGGAACATTCCGTTTAAGAACCTTTCTTTTTAGATCTCCCACGCAAATAATTGACTCCTCAGATTCTTGGGCCTCTATCATGTTTCCAATAAAGTACAATTCCAAATTTTGTACACTTTCGTACTGGAGAAAGAAGAATTTTAGATGCATTTCTTCGAAGTAGCGTAGACATTCACTGGTTGCTCCCACAATGTACACGATGACAGCCTTATCTGGTTCAGCCACAATGGTCAAATGGGTCAAAGCTAGGCAAACGGTGCAAACGGTACTAAATGAAGAGCAAGCAGCAAGCAGATCGTACTGCTGAAGATTGTTTGGGCTGTCGTTCACCATTAGCAAAGTAGCATTGTAAAATGCCTCGACAAGATTGGTCTCTTGAAGGATGCTGCTTCTATGGAATTCTTTGATTTGAAATTGATTTGATTCGAGCAGTCGGTAGGGGCTGTAGACGAGGGCTAGTGTTCGACACACTTTCGGCGTGTGATTATCCTTGTCGAGCTGCCGATGGTACTCAGAGCAGTAGGCCACGCCCTCACATCCTGCGCAAGAATTTAGAGGCGTGGTTCGATAGCAAATAACGCAGTAACCAGGATTTCCAATTATTTCTTTCTCGCGCAAGGAGAGAGGGCGCCGGAGTTTGACGCTCAGGATGAGCTTTAACTGAGAAATGGCCTGGTTCAGCATGTTACGGGACAGAACAACTCCTTGCAGAAAATGAGGAAATGAAATGCTCTCCACCTGTTGGACTTCCCTTAGAATCTGGCAGAAGTCGCGGTGCTCCATGAGATCTTCAGTAAGATGGGCAACACTGCAATATCGTTGCACCTTGCAATTGCACAACAAATCTGGAGTTTTTTTAGATGTTTCTTCTAGTTTTCCATTTGCGTTTTCCGGAGTCCTTTGCATTCGCATGGCTTGCAACATACGTGCCCGGTTGTACACACAAACACAACACTTTAAAGACGAACCGTACGATTGCACGTTTACAGTGGTCGTATGCATGTCCATTATTTGTTGACTATGGATGCGATGCGCCAGGAATAATTGGACATTACTTTGATCTATTTTTCGTGAGGTGAGCCAGCTCAAGGTGAATTTAGTAAAGAATATTTTGGAATAGCATTGGATTTTTGTGAGACATACAACAAGTAGTTCATTTCTGAACGAATCCTGGCATCTCTGCTGGTTCCGGTATTTTTAATACTTTATAATGGTATATTTTGTCAATTTCATCAATCTATTAAATTTCATTTTCAACGGTATATAAAAATCCAATAAAAGCAAGTATTTAAATTAAGCCAATCAAGGAAAAAATTGATTCATCAATTGTATAAAATTATGTGGGCAGGACTGAGAGATCTACCTAGCTAGTAATAGTCGACGGAATATCAAAATTGAGGAATAAGAATAATTGAACTTGAATTCGTCAGTATATTTATGGTATATTTTTAAAATGATACAGTATATTTTAACGATTAATCCCCGGTCACACTGCGTAGCAAGCATTGTTTTGATTTTGGGGCAACATGTCAGAAATTAAAGATGAAAAGCAAAAGGCTAGTAATCCTGAGAGTAAGCCAGAGAGATCGCGAGGAAACAGGAGAAAAGACAGGAAGGAAAAAAGTAATCCGACCGTCAAGATAGTGATGCGGCATTTGCCGCCGACAATGACGGAGAAGGAATTCTTGGATCAAGTGGGGCCGTTGCCGTCGGAAAGCGACTCGTACTATTACTGCCAAGCAGATTGGTCCCTGGGTCATGACGCGACATGCCGGGCATACATCGATATGACCCCAAAGGATAACACCGAGCTTCTGCAATTTCGAGATCGATTTGATGGATACGTTTTCGTTGATCAATATGGCGTTGAATACCATGCCATGGTGGAGTATGCTCCTTTCCAGTGCTTCCTTAAGAACAAGTCCCGAACTGATGACAAGGTAAACACGATTGAGGCCGAGGCGCACTACCAGGCTTTTATTCAGAAGCTGGCTGATGAAAGAGAAGAGGCAAGCCGCATAGGTGAAGTTAAGATCGACCTGACGTTCGACCGAAAATCTGACGACAGGGTGAGGTCCACCCCTTTGCTTCAATACCTAGCTAACAAAAAGGAAAAGCGGCGGGAAGAAGCCCGAAAACGGAATGAAGAGAAAAAGAAACACCGCGAGGAGCAAAAGCAAGTCAGATTAATGGAACAGTCGGAAAGCAGTAAGCCGAAAGAATCCACTGCTGACGTTAGAAAGGATACTGGCACCAAGCCCAAAGGCGGCACTAAAGATGCTCAATCCCAAAATCAGACAACTGAAGGAGCAAAGAACTCGCGGTCAAAACGTCGGACGGAGCGCGATCAACGTCGACGTGAAGAGCATGAGCAGCGAAAGCTGGACCGCGAACGTGACCAGAAAGATATAAAGAATCCTGAACGCCAAGATAACCCCGATAGGGAAAAGCCTTTCAGCAATAAAAATGGTAAAAAATCGAAACAGCAGAAAGATCTGAATAAGCCAGAAAGAGATATTGCTATTTTAAGAAAGGAAAGCAAATTTGATTTGAAAAAATGTGAAGAGCTTCCATCAGCGTCCAAGAAAACGAATGTAGGTGATTGTTCGGAAGCAGCGCAGCCAAAATCGAAGGAAGAAATCAGCGTTCCAGATACCATAAAGAAAACTGTTCAAGCTGTCAGCGATCAATCGGAAAACGACAATTCGGCAGCTACTACGGTTCAGCCAGCCGGTCCATCTAGGTCAAAAAGTTTCGATGATACGCGGAAATCAAGCTTTCGATCATCCGAAGAGCGTCGCATTCGAAATAAGGTGATTACCAAACACCCTAACATTTAATTTGAAAAAAATAAAAATGATCATATTATTTGTTGCAGGATCGTCCTTCTATTGCAATATATCAGCCAAAGGCTCGCGTTCGTAAGGGATCGGGAGATCAGTCTCAAAACGGTAACAAAGACGTCTCCAAATCGCGCGACGAGCCAATTTCGGATGGAGAGGTTTCTTTAGCTGAGGAGAAGCCGGCAAGGAAAAACAAGAGGCCAGGTCGTCGCAATAAGTCAAAGCCCTGTCAGGGTATCTCCAAGTCTTCAGAAAATAGCTGCAGTGCAAACGACCCGGCCATCGTGAAATAAGAAAAATATGTTTATTTTTAAATAAATGAACATTCACTCTTGGGATGCGGCAGTTGCGTCAGTAGAACTCGCTCTCCATATCCATCTGCGTACAAGTCCTCTGATTATTCTTAACCTGATCCTGCGACTGGTACATGTGGGCTACTTGATTGGCATCTGTTGCGTTTTCGCTGCTCTTATCATCTCGAATTCGAATGAATCGGGGGAATCGCAGCGAAATACCCCGCTCGGTGTCAACGATGCCTATGGCTGCTCTATGGATGGGGCTAAGGGAGAGGTCTGCGCACTTTACTTCCCAAACCTGAGCCGGCTCAAACCAGTGGTCCGGTTCCAGGCTTGAGTCATATCTAAAGTATGACTTGGCACTGGGTATGACATGTTTGCCTAAGAATTCAGAGTGTATCCGCAAATCTTCATCAGTGAACCCTGAAAGAAGTCAATTTAGTGAATGAGATTCATCTAAATATAAAACTAATAAAATTAAATAGAACCTGTCCCAATTTTGCAGATGCTCTGGTATTCCTCGTTTTCGGTGTCATAGCAGGCAAGCAGAAATCCGCCATAGGTCCCGGTTCGTCGTCCCTTTCCTTTGTAGCCGCCAATTACAACAAGATCAAGCGAGTCGCCCACATTTGACAAATAATCCTTTTTCAACTTAAGCCAATTCCTTGATCTTTTTGCGATTTCATACGTGGCTTCCTCATCCAATGTCTTGACCATGAGTCCCTCACAATTGCCTGGAAGAACATCAACGATCTAATATTTGGAAATGGCTACACTGATGCTCGACCGACCTTTAACTGATTCCTCTAAAAATTGCTGCACCTCATCAATATCGTTAGTGTCCAGAGCTGTGGCGAATTTCCATTCACCTTCGACTTCCTGGAAATGTTCTAGCAGCAGCTTGCGGCGCTCGGATAATGGACTTGTGACAAGGGTCGTACCATTAATATACAGAAGATCGAATATGTAAACACAGACTTGAACTTTGATCTCTTCTATGTCCACGTTTTTTCTTTTGCGCGTACTGAGTACTTGGAATGGCAGAATCTGCTTTCGCTCAACGTCCCAGGCAACGATTTCGCTATCAATAATGTAAGACTGCACTGCACCCTTAAGGAAACCTTTGCTCCTGGCAATCAAATCCGGATACTTCGCCGTGTTGTTCTCCGAGTTGCGAGAGAATATGCTTATCTCTCCCCGCTCGTTGCAGTGAATCTGGGCTCGTTCGCCGTCGTATTTCCATTCGCACGTTATGTGCATGCTTCCAAAGCGCTCAAACACCTCATGAACTCCTTTTGTTGGTTGTGCGAGCATTGGCCTCAGCGGCATGCCTGGGTGCATGGGGCAACGTTCTTGGAGCTCCTTGATGTCATACTTCAATATTGCAGGAATAATAATGTCGTAGTTGGGGCATTGGCTAGAAAGTACGTATTTTAATATGTAGATACTGATAACTTGTGTACCTACCTATATGCTGTTTTCAGCAATAACGTAGTCTCCGTTATTTCATCTTTGTAAACGTCGACTATTTTGCTGACCTTGCAGTCGTTAATGTGATTTTTCTTCACCAAAGCAATTGCAAGAGCAGTGAGAAGACTTTGCTCTGCGATGCCAATGCGCAACTTGCCGATCAGGGAGCGTATAAAGAAACGAGCCTCAGATGATCGACAGGCCACAAAGACATCATAGACGAGAGTCATCTTGGACTGACCAGATATCTTGGCTATTTCTCTTAGCTTGTTGAATACTCCTCTGATGTTCAGTGGAGCAGGCTGAAACATCATGCGTTGCGAAACGCGCGACTGCTCGGCGACAATGCCCAGGTCGCCGGTTAAGTGCGTTTGAGATTTGATGTGTGCCAAGTTACGGCCCGTCGCCTTGCAGATTGCCTTCATTAACGTTGTCTCAGCCACACCAAGTTCCAGCCCCTCGTAGGCGGGGGCCAGCTGGTTAATACTGAGATAAACACTGGGCAGCAAGTCATTTGGGCTAACTAACATAACCGAGGAAAAAAAATTGCTTAACGTATCAATCATCTTGAGGCGGCCTTTGGTCTCCTCTATCACTTGAAACGTTCGAGCTAACGCCAAATACGGTGTCCTAAAAAAGGTTATTTCATTAAATGAAAGCTATGTTTTTCTGAGAATGGATATACTTACACCGCTTTGGCCTTCCAGTATGCGTGCTCCAGGGGATGATAGGCTTCGTTTGAAGGATCGTAGTTTTCCACTTCCTCTTTGTTATCTTTAGATGTGGAGTTCAGTCCAATTGTTGTTACTTTCCGTTCAACTTTGCTTGTCGGCTCCTCCTTGATTTCCATAGCTTCAATTATGCTCGGATTTGGATCAATAATACGGTTTGCTTCAATATTAGCTTCAGAGGTCTCATCTTCACGCTTGATTTTTGGTTCATTTTCAGCCAAATCAACCTCCGACTTAATTCTATACGACAAATTGTTAAAACAGTTGAGTTGCATTGTCTCAAATAAAATGCATTTTTGGTCTTACTTCGAAACTGGTCTGGCTTTGCCAGGGCTCTCCGGCACATCGGATTTTTGCTTAAAATAGGAACTGTTGTGGAAAACCAAAATATGATTAGGCAATGCAGTAGAAAGAGTACTAACTAATGAACAATATTTACGTTATGGACTGTTGCATGTTGATGCACTTTTAATACAAATACAAAATGCAATTAGCAGCTATTGTTTGTTCCCGCCAGTTTCCAATAGAGGTGGAGTATTATCGATGGCACTATCGGCACTTCGATAGTTCTCTTACATATTCCTCGGTTTTGATATTCCGTCGAATAAATCTGGCTGAAACCCTTAGCTTAGACCTTAGCTAACATAATTTAATCCAATTAATGAATCTATTTTCTAGTTGATTTGCTTATTTAAAATACTTTGACTTTGCCTCAACTTTTCAATGAAAAGGTACTTTGAATGACTTTTTAAAAATTAGATACTATCGATAGTATCGATTTTTTAAATCATTCCATTCAAAACTATCGGCTTTTTGTCTTCAAGGTATATTTAGCAAATGGGTGGACTTTACCTTGCACTCGCTGCATTTTCCGGTCCGTTTTGCCTGTCGTCCATACCCCATTTTTCCGTCCACTAGTAACGAGTAACACAAGATTTATTCGCTGGCCGACGTCAATTTCCCCCCCTTTTCTTGATTGTGGAAACTGCAAAAGTTATAATTTGATTGATAATTTAATTACCAATTACCAATTACCACAGCTCGGCAAGAATATGGCGGACGAAAGCATTACTCGAATGAACCTGTCAGCTATTAAGAAAATAGATCCATACGCCAAGGAAATCGTCGACTCGTCGTCGCACGTCGCGTTCTACACCTTTAACTCGGAACAAAATGAATGGGAGAAGACCGACGTCGAGGGAGCTTTCTTCATATATCACCGCAACGCCGAGCCCTTTCACAGCATTTTCATCAATAACAGGCTAAATACAACTTCTTTTGTGGAGCCAATCACTGGGAGTCTTGAGCTGCAGTCGCAGCCCCCGTTCCTCCTCTACCGCAACGAACGCTCCCGCATCCGGGGATTTTGGTTTTACAACAGTGAAGAGTGCGACCGCATGAATGGTGTTGTGAACAGCTTACTGCAGAATAAAGAATCCAACGGACTGGTGGCGAATCCTAATGCTGCTCCCACGTTTGTGATTCCAAAACACGACAATGCTAGCATATTTAATATGCTGAGCAAAGCCCAAAAGGAGTACAACGCACAGTGCAACAACCAGTCCAAGTCAATGCAACCGGAAAATGTGACCCCCGGGAATGTTCTCAAGTTCTTTGAATCGGCTAAGCAAGCAACAGCAGAGTCGGGTACAGTACAGTACAATCGGGTACAGCCGCTTTCAGTGGATCAATTGGAGAAGCAACAGCGCGCAGCAACGCCCAATGAAGGCTTAATTCCGACCAGAGAAGCCCCTTCCGATTGCAGGCTATCACCTTTTCAGAAGCCGTCGTTGAACGCTCAGCCCTTACCACTGCTCAGTGAATTGAAAATCGGATCTCCATTAATGGCCAACGAAGACGCTGGCAACTGCCTCAGGCGCTTGCTGGTGGGAGACCAGCCTGAAGCAAAGCCGGCCCTAATGCCTCCTTCCATGTTCGATGCACCCAATGGCAACCCGGAGCCCGTGCAGCCATTAAGCTCATCACGATTTGTGCAGGCCTTCACTTATCTTATCCAAAACGATAAGGAGTTTGTTAATAAGTTGCACAGAGCATATTTGAAATTTGATGAAGATTCTTATTAAAACATAAATACATATGTATGATTTATTTTGATTTGTTTTGTTACTTTTTTAGCTTACTGTTAAAGAAAATCTATCAATACAGAGCGCAGAAGAAGCAGACCCATCCATTCAATTCATATTTATAATTTGATATATTAAAATATCATGTTTTCGTCTGAGACCTTTTTAACCCTCAAAGTCCTTTCCGATTCAGTTCACGACTCGAGTCTGCATATTAGCTAAAAGATATTGTACGATTGTTAGCCTCACATCAATAGATCACAGGATATTTCAGGATTTTCGATTAATAATCAAACTCAGATTACGACGCAAGCATTTGTTCTGTACTAAAGTTGCTCTAGTTTTCATGTTCAAATTTACAGGCGTAATAAATATACATAGGTCTAAAGAATATAGCAAAACTAGTTCACTTTCACTACATAGGGATGAAAAATTAAATATGATTTTTTATTATTTTTATTTATGCTTCACAACATTAATAAATAATTATATCAATGTGATCATAGTAGTAAATAGATCGGTAAGGAAATGATGTGCCTGTGCTGTCTGGTTATTTTCAGTACGGATGGGAAGGTTTAGTTTAAAGAGCGACAAACATCAGAAAGAAATTTCAGGTTAGGATATCTTTATTTACAAAATCAAATGGGAAGCCAAAAAGGCACACAAAAGATAGTTGCATGGCAATAGAATTCAATAAACATAGTTTTAGTAACAACAAATATCAACAATTTTTTTTTATTTAAATTAAGACTTTCAATTTCGAAAGGAAAAAGTACATAACACAAAATAACCACATTCTAAAATCGATATGGCCTCCACCAGATCCGGATGTTGCGAATGCGGTTAAATTTTTGGAATAGCCTTCAAAAGAGACTACACACTGATAAGAATCCACATCATCATCAGTATCATATACTGCAACAACCGTGGTCGCATTAAAGTATCCTTCTTCGTTTTCCTCTGGAGCTCTGGGCTCTTTTTTAACAACATCATCATCTTCCGATCTGTAAGCCAAAAATGAATCTTATTATCAATAATTACACTCGGTCATGTTCAATTTCTTACATGATAGTTATGGTAGGCTTCGGAAAAACGTTGGATACCACGCATTCCAGCTGAGTTTCATTTTGAATTTTGTTCTGATTCAGATACAGCGTATAGTTCCTCACATCGATGACCTGCACTTTTTGATGACTAGTAAACGTCTCCGATCTCGTCTGAACTACACACTTGTAGTCTCCGGTAGTGTGTATTGTTGGATTAATTAAAGCCAATGAGCTGTACTGTTTGTTGGGATCCGTAGAGCTTTCATAGGAACTGTCAATATCATTTTTAAATTCAGGCTGGAAGTAAACGATATTTTTTAATAAAATATGCCTTTGTATTTCATAACTGTACTTACAATGGGCGCAGGATGAGTTCCACGAATCCACTGATATATAGTTTTGTCATTTCTGAACCACTTCACGGTAAGAAACGAATCTGTATCTTTGATATTATAGTCACAGTCCAATACAGTAGGTTCCATATCTTCATTTTGAAGGACTATTAGCTGCGTTTGGGAATCATCTTTTGCTGGCAAGCATAGCCCACCTGTGTATTAAATTAAAGAAAGGCAAGGATAAAATGCCGAATATTTAGCTGTTTAAGTCTGAGTTTGCTTGAGGTTTTGTTATTCACATCTGAGAGAATAGTGACTTCATATCGCCGCCATATCTTTTTTTGTCGAGATTATGGATTGTTTCGGCGAAATTAGCCCTCATCTAAAACGTATTTTTCAAAGAAAAATCTAACCGACTTGTGTAATCAAGATCATTACTATAGGTATGAACACCTGAACAATTAAATATGCTACTATTTGCAGACTATTTGAATACAGAAAATTGTTTGGAAGCTTATGGTAGTTACATATGTCATGAAAATACACAATAAATATTCAGACATATGGATACGATACAAATACGTATATAGATTTTGCAAAAAAGCTTTTATTTACGAAAAGAAAAATATCGAGTGAACAGATGCTCGTTTAGCTTAAAAATAGAACCAAATAACAAACAAACAGAAACAAATAAATTTAAAATATTTTCTTTTGGTAGTTTGGTATACACGTATGTGCATATGTAGTTTTAATTTTTAAATTTTTTTATTTCAAACCAGTGCTGTTAAAAGACTTTTGGAGCGCAAAAATCAGAGCCATAGTCTTAAACTGGAGTCGGAATTAGCATATTGAAATAATAAATATCCGTTTCGTAGGACACTACTATTCATGAGTAGACTGAAGATTTAAGAAGATTACAATCCTCTTTCACGTGTAGCACATTTTCCCCGATGGATATAAGAAAAAAGCAAAATATCACACATAACTTCTTAACTGATCCTTGCTTTATTCTAAGATCAAACCGAAGAGGGTATTTAAGAAATGGCCGATTAGAGTGAACAATTACTGGCGTGGTCAATCAAAACTATGTATTTTATGTTGTTATCTGTGTGCACATGTACATACATATGATATGTACATATGTATTTATAGATATCCGATTTGTCATTATTTTTCTCAAGGTTTGTACAATGTACATTCAGTGTATATATAAGTTTATATACGTTTATTTGCCCGATGAAATGACTTCATTTCTTAATTTAAAAATAGTTCTCCAATGTTAAATATTTTTCACATTTCGCACTTTAATTCCGTACCTCTTTGGAATAATCCTATCGTAAGAATGACAATAAGCAGAGGATCCATAATAGTTTATTTACAACACTTCCTCATACATATACTAGTATGTATACCACCGAACAGACTTTCACAAATGTACAAGTATTTAGCTTAACCGCTTGCTCTGCATGGTCAAACACAAGTGTCGGGTATAGCACAACTGAATGTGCTGGCCACCGTCAAGAGAGAGCACACGTAGAGAGCCAAAGCCAAGAAGACACGGCACACCACCACAACACAACCCACCCAGCGTGGCTATATAGAAAAGATAATGCCGGCATTTTCTCTCTGCCTCGCTGATCTTGTACACATCCAGAGCCCGAGCCGGAGCCCCGAGCTCGTGCCACTTGTGCATGGTAGAATTATATGGAAATGTGCGTGTGCACGAGAGATCGTTTTGCAGCTGTCCTATACATATGGGGGTTGGAAAGGCTTTCCGCTTCGTTACTCTCCGTTGCTCCTAGCTACTAACGGCTGACGTTGACTATTTGAGCACAAGTTGGTTGTTACACATACCTACGCCCACTAGCGACCTTTAGGGCAGAAAGGAAGCGTGCTGACCTGACCCTTTTTTCTTGGTTTTAGAATGATGGGATCAGTGCGTTCATTTTAAAATATGGTTTGGATATGTTAGCTTGTACAGGGCAAGTTTAAAAATTCAGTATAATCTTCTCTGTTCTCGATAGTAGTTGTCAAGGAAGGGTATGGTATGGTATGGTATGCTTAAAACAAGTTCGTTTAAGAGTACTCTGATTTTGTTCATACAAACATTGAGGAGCTCGTTCAGCTTCGCTGCCTTACAAAAGATAAAGCCTTCACTCTAGCATGCAAATGTCTGAATACAATACACCACGAAAACATAACCCTTTCGGAATTTAATCATATGTACATACATATGTATGTACTTCTGTATGCATATAATTGCACCAACGTAGATATAAATACATATGTATGACTGTATTAATGGACACATAGACCTAACTGAATTATGGACTTCATGGCTCTCAATATTAGATTATTGTCTTTATGATGATCGTATGCAAAGCTGTTTACTCGGTTTAGTGGGGCTAGTGGTCGGGCTCTTACTGCCACTTTTAAGCATTCTTCGACTTCTTCTGTCCTTTAAGCGTTGTATTGCAGGTGGCGTTCCCAACTAGCTCCCTGCGTGTAAGTAGCTGGGTTCGACAATAAAGGAAAACGCCGAAAACCTTGGAACAGATGAGCCCATCACTCGGGATAACTAAGTAATTGCATGGGCGGTCTATTGATGGATAGAAAAAGAAGACGGGTCCCCAGGGTTAAAGCAGGGATAATATTTTAGGGATGTTCAAATCCAGCTAACGTCCCACCAGGATTTGACGCCCATACAATTAGGGACCAGGAATGCCGTGTCTGGTTTAAGGGTTGGGCGTTCTCCAAATCATTATTCCGATTGGATATACTTTTCAGAGGTCGTTCGCCGTCACTTGTCACTTGTGTTACTTGCTAAAAACACCCCCACCAAATATAAAATTCTGTCCAACGTGATTACCCTGGCTATCTATAAACCATCAGAAGTTACGAACTAATTTCATCTCTCGTAAAGAATAATCTTATAAGCATTATAGTCCTTTGCGTTTGTTGTATTATACAGCCATACAAAAATATGCATTCCATGCTGAAGGACACTGTTGAATACCCTTTTGTTATCTTTTTGTACGGAAGAAAACTCACAGTCCAAATATATATGTTCATATATAATAAATCCATCTACCCTTAATACGGAAATTATATCCCTATAATATTTAAGCAATTTTTAAAATGTACTTAACTGAACTTTGTAATTTTTAATTAAATATTATCTATTTTGTATCTTTTAGATTTCTCAAAAGCACATTTCCTTTCAGCATTTCAGAACTAATGTTATCAGATGGGCCAATTTTCTCTTCACAATGTGACTTTTGAAGAACCGTAAATTGTATTACACTCAAAGAATAATTGGAAGAATCCTTTGTTGTAGTACTCGCCTCTTTTATAAAAATGGCGATTCAAAATTGGTGTTGTTTTCGAATAAAATCTAGAATCGATAAAAAAATCAAATTGACACAAAATAAAAAAAGGTTTACCTTTTTCATATATTAAAATGTATACACATTTTGTCTTTGGCGCAGTGTATGGCAAAAATTGTAGCGTAAAATTTCCACCCCTAGTTCGTTTGGAGCTCGTTAGCACACGCCCCCAAACGCGGAGTGAAATATTTTCTATCTCTTTCACCAGAGACAAGTGCAGCATCCTTTTTTGTCCAAAGGCTGTAGTTGGTAGATTCGTAATCGAAGCTTATTTATTCAAGGGCAGTTAAAAGTTGTGTTTCCGCGCGAGTTCATAATTATGTGTTTTATCGGGATGTGACTCATTAACGGACATTAAAAATACCTTTAGAACAAATTTTGTATCCTATATGGGCTTTCAGTGCAATGGAATTTTCATTTCTAAACAAGGCGAACTTCGACAAGGACTGCATCTACAACGCCAATACGGATTTTTATAATAATAATACAAATGGAGGACTCTCCGTAGCTAATCACATGAATCATTATAATTTAATGATTGACTCGAGCTACAAGCTATGTGCCAACGAGACTGCAATGAGGAGTTCATTAAATCAAGAATCGAGCTTACTATTTTCGAAAATAACAACTGTTTCGGAATTCTACCCTTCGACACATAACATTGCGTCCTATAACTCCGGTTAGTATTCCGATGGGTCCCACATTATATAGCACAGCTTTTAAGAGCGCACGATACTTTTCAGTACGTTTTACTATTTTCCAAATACTTGAAAACTCGCATTATTATAAATTGTTACTGTTTATTCAGATTTTCATTTAAAGGCGTATGATGATGGATTGAGCTTGACTGATAAATCTAAACAGAGACGGATTCGAACAACTTTTACTTCCAATCAGCTAAATGAATTGGAAAAAATATTCTTAGAGACCCATTATCCTGATATTTACACAAGAGAGGAGATTGCATCGAAACTACACTTGACAGAAGCAAGAGTTCAGGTAAGAAAAAAATCATATTCCATATTCCAATCCAATTTAAAACAGCGCACTTACATGCCCTTGAACATCGGTGGCTTCTATGATAGCTATACAAAAAGTTGTTGACCTTATACATATATGTACATAGCGGGATGATGAACTAGTATAGTGATCCGATCGAATTGGTTGTGTCACGCAGTTGACGAGAGGTATTTATTTTTGTTCAGTAGTTGTAGGTATTTAAGCACCTTCTTCGTCGTCAGTCTTTCAGAATTTCTCTTTTCTTTCATAACAGTTAAAAAAAAACTCTAAAGCATTATTTTCTAGATCACTCTAAGCTTTTATAGATTCATAGCCTCCAGACTATCTCATATCTTAGCCTTGACGAAATAGCGATTAAAGTGATGGCTATCTATGATCGATTAAGTTCAACCGTACTATAATGAAAATAGGTCGGCGTACCCGGTTTTTGGATCTTCAAAGGTTCAAAGGCTCTGAACGTCTGGTTGGGTCTTACTATCACATAGGAGTGCTGCACTAGCTGGAGACTGAATATAAGAATCCTGGGCTTGTTCATGATATATCTCAGATAAAAGATCGCACAAGAAAAGTTTTAGTATCTCCCATAAATATGTGGCAACTCAGTGAAATGAACAAAGACTAAACAGTAATATTAGGTACTTTTATAAGGAAAATAGCGCATTAGAAATTAACACTGTATAACACTGTATATGTAATTATAAAAATGTACTTCCTTTTAGGTATGGTTTCAAAATAGAAGAGCAAAATTTCGAAAGCAAGAACGACATGCTATTTACATTATGAAAGATAAGTCTGTTAAAATGGATAGCCGCAAAAACTCTGCATCCGGCTCTAAATATCTGAATCCGGCAGTGAAAGGACCTCAAAATTCGCGCCAGATGAAATGCCTGTATGATCAAATATAGGAACCACCAATATCTATGTAAATATTAAGATACATTTTCATCACTACATACCATTATTTTGATATTGTTTTTACTAAGCATTGTGGTGCAATTTAAACGTTAAATAAAGAAAATCAAATCTACATATTTACCAGTACTTTGAAAATCTTTGGATTCCCTTGAAAGTCTTTTTAGCAGCTTTCCACTCTCATCTTGTCCCAATTCATCGAATTTCCAGTCGGTGGGGTGAGATCCAAATAGATAAGTCAAAATTGTTTTTTTTTTTTTCGAAAAATCCTTCAATAAAATTCTTATATATAGCGTTTTTTCTGTTTCTGGTACTAAAAGAGTATAAGGATTGGTACACATTTAAAATTCGTGTAGATTTATGCAACACTCAGAAGTAAGCGTATTTTTTTATTTTATATTCTTGATCATCATCACCGATCCAGTCATATTGAAATACACTTGTGACGGTGCGATATCACAAGAATGGAGATACCAAATTTAGTTGCTCCAGCTCTTATAGTCTCTGAGATATAAGTGCCCATCGGGACGGATCTACGGACAGACAGACATGGCTCAATCGACTCGGTTATTGATGCTGATCAAGAATATATATACTTTATGGGGTCGGAAACGCTCCCTTCTGGGCGTTAGAGCTTAGAATCTTATGACCTGATTATAATTCCCTTTACCGTATAATATCTACAACCCTTCCACTTCTTAAATCACTAATATAAACATACATTTCTCGCAGTTAGTTATAGTTTAAATACTTAGTTTTTTTAGCAAGTTCAGTTCTAATTTTTCTCGAATCTATCTTTCTGTCTAACATCTATCTTTCCTGCATGTTCGCGATCTGTTCGGTAAAAGCGTCGCGCGTCATGCGGCTGCGCCCCTTGGTCGGTTGGACGGGAGGAGTGCTGCGTTACTGCCTGAGATCCGCGCATAACAGGCTTCGGCTTGGTGTTTATTTGGCCTCTTGATTTTGCAGTCATTGCACATCAAAGTCCGAAATAAAAACATCCACTTTCCCGACAAATCTAATATACACCCCATACTCTTTTTGAGTATCAGGTATAAAGAGAGGAATACGATTTTTTTGCCTAAATTTGGCTATGTATTTATTTGTATTCGCAGAAAAATAAACGAGCGGGAATGTTGTAAGCCTCTACTTTATACGCGGTACTCAGTCAGTGTACATGTGATTAAACGGTTAAACCGTTTGTGAGATTTTTATATATTATATTTGATCTGCTTCCGTTTTTCTTTACATACATCCATACAGGAGTATGGATACAAAATTTGTTTGCTCTAGCTTTATAGTCTTATCGGGACGGACGGACTGACAGACATGGCTATATCGACTCGACTATTGATGCAGATCAAGAATATATATACTTTATGGGGTCGGAAACGATTCCTTCTGGACGTTACACACATCCACTTTTACCACAAATCTAATATACCCCTATACTCTTCGAGTATCAGCTATAAAAAGGGTCTTTTCATTGTTGTTGTTTTGGTGTGGGTAAGGTAAGAAAGCGAAGAAAGGAAAGATCGAAAATCAATTAAATAACTCGAAGTAGTTCGAATGTCTTTGTTTTACAACCTTTGCCACTGCCGCGAATTTGCTATCGATATCGGAATAAACGCAATGAAACAAAATAGGTAACATAGAAAGCAACCAAATTATGGAAAACGAACGAAATGGGACGCGATTCTTTTATTTACTTATTATTTATTTATTTCGCCCCCCATTATTGTATTTTTAGATCAGTTGGTTTTGATGATGTATTTATTTATGAATGAGTAAACGTACGACGACACAGCATTCAACTTTTTAGTTTTGGGCAAGATTTCGCTTCAGTAAAATTATTTACTTCTTGTTTCAATTTCGTACTAAACATTTAATCTCGACAAGAATTTTGCAGACAAATGGAAAAGTAACCAACGTATACACCATACGCTGTAGGAAAACAAAAGAAAAACACATCAAAGTTAATAAAAATTCTTATAGATCGAGTGTTCTGTTACTCATGAGTGAGTGAACAAAAAAGAGTTATTCACTTAAGTGAGCAACTGAACATGTTCCTTCCAAACTGTTTTTTTTGTTCACTTCTTCTTTGTTGTTCACTTGTTAATTTTTGCTCACATGTTCTCTACTCACTTTTTGCGCAATTTTGCTCCTCAAAGGGCATTTTGCGTTCTGGAAGTTGTTGCTCATATTTGTTTCTACTTCACACTTTATGTATTACCGGCAAAACTGTTTATTCTTTTGAAAATTCAATATGTCGCTAATTCAAAATATATTCGATACTTCGAAAGTATAGTAAAATTTGGAATCATTGCAATTTTTTTTGTTTTGTTTTAAATGTTTGATTAAAATTGAAATGTAACGTATTTCGTTACATTACATGCTTAGTAATCTCTGCGCGAACAGTGAGCAAGTGAGCAACTGAGCAATCTAAGTGAGCAACTGAGCAAAGGTGAACAAGTGAGCAATATGAGTGAGTTGACTTACTAAAAAATAAGAAGTGAACATGTTCCCCAAAATGAGCAATGTTGACCCAACACTATATTTCAACAGATGAGATACATAATGTTTATTTTTGCATGTTCCGATTCCACGTTCCTATTCTTTTGGTCAAGCAACTGTATCGAGAATGCCCATGCTGCAGACCGCAACCACACTAGTATTTAATATGGTCGGGAAAAATTCTGTTTTGTTTAAACCTTGTTTTAATCAAAATCCAATAAATGCAAGTATTTCGAATAGGCCAATCATGTATAGAATTGATTCATCAATCGTACAAAATTAAGTGGGCATGGCTAAATGTTCCATATAGATATTATTATTCAACGGAACAAAGAATATGAGGAATTGGTCGTTTTTTGAATCGAATTTGAATTCGCCGCAGTTCGCCACAGTTTCGCCTTAGCAACAATGAGTCTCATTCCATACACAATGTTGCGGCAACATTTACTTGAAAACCGTTTTTTGGTCAAAATAAAATACTTACAAGCAATTTAAAGAAGCAATCTTGTAAAAAATGTATTTATCTATGCGATAAAGCTAAGTGGGCAAATCTATATAGCTTGGCAATACCCGATTCGCCGCAGTTTCGCTTTAGCAACAATGAGTCCCATTCCATACACAAATGTTGCTAATTTACCAGCAACATTGCAACTGTTTTTTTTGTTGTACTATTTTGCTTAAACCTTGTTTAGTCAAAATACAATAAAAGCAAGGACTAAAAACTGGCCAGTTAAGTAGAAAATTGATTCATTAATCGTATAACATTATGTGGGCATAGATAAAGGCCCGGTTGACAACACTTAAGTCCTTGTCGCTCACATTCAAAAAAGTTCGATTTGGCGCGCACCACTCGGTATATTTTTCAAGTGAGACCGTATATACTGTAGAAACTGGTTTTCGCCGCGCTCCCATGGTGTTTTTTAGTGCTAAATGGTATTTTTGTCATCTATTAATTTAATTTTCAATTTTATATAAAAATCCAATAAATGCAAGTATTTCGAATAGGTCAATCATGTATAAAATTGATTCATTAATTGTATAAAATTGAGTGGGCATGGCTAAATGTTCCACATAGACAGTATTATTCAACGGAACAAAGAATATGAGGAATTTGAATTCGCCGCAGTTCGCCGCAGTTCGCCGCAATTCGCTTTGGCAACAATGAGTCTCATTCCATACACAAATGTTGCGCATTCCATACACAAAAGTTGCGGCAACATTTACTTGAAACCCGTTTTTTGGTCAAAATAAAATACATAAAGGTAATTAAAAGAAGCAAACTTGTAGAAAATGTATTTATCTATGCGATAAAGCTAAGTGGGCAAATCTATATAGCTTGAAATATAGGCAAAACCCGATTCGCCGCAGTTTCGCTATTGCAACAATGAGTCCCTTTCCATACACAAATGTTGCTAACTCCATGCACAAATGTTGCTAATTCCATGCACACATACCCTGGGGGTAATGGATGTTATAGAATTGTGAATACGTTTGTCTTCCAAGGCTCAGGATCGATATAAATATATACAAGATACTAATAATACACATGAATAAGTCAAAAACATATCAATTTGAGAAAAGGTCTTAATAAATTGCGTTTGATCTACATGTAAAATTAACGAAATAGGGTGCACAAAGGTCTATACGCGCATCATGTCTTTAAATACCAGCCACATTGCGACTGATTTTTTGTTGAACTATTTGGTTTATGCCTTGTTTTAGCCAAAATACAATAAAAGCCAGGACTAAAAACTATCCAATCATGTATAGAATTGATTCATCAATGGGTTAAAATTATGTGGGCACGGCTAAATGTTCTATATAGCTAGTAATATTCAACGGAAGAAAGAAAACGAGGAATATGTAAAATATAACTTGAATTCGTCAGTATTTTTACGGTATATTTCCAATTAAGCCGGTATATTTTGGTATATTTCTGAGGGTCGGACGGTATTTTTCAACGATAACACTGTTTGGACGTAATCCTGCATTTAATTTAATAAATTAATTAAAATTTACATTAATTGGCCATGTTGAGATCTAGGATTTCCAGAAGATGGATGTCAATGTCGTATTTTTCAACAGAATTCAACGCGCTGGCGAGTGAGGGTCCAGCCAAGTTTCGACACCTCTTACCTGAGGGCAGTCAGCATGCTGGAACAAATATAGATTTGGATCTGTTTGTGAATGCGGATCATCGGCAAATGGACCTGGTGGACAGGCTGCTTAAGCTCAGGTAAGCTTGAACGTTTTAGCCAGAACTTGAACTAACCTTGGAACCCTTATAGAAAGCAAAAAGAATGCAGCTATGTTCCGCTTTTGCCGAGTCTGTTAGTGAAGCAATTACTGGACTCCACAAATCCCCAGGAGGTAATCACGGTTCTGCGGAGTCCCAGCCAATATGGACTGTTTATTGACCAGTTCTCCGGGTGTTTCCTTATGGACCTATTGTTGCACAGCGGAAACACATTGGAAGCAGCGCAGATTGCTGCTCTTCTTGTGGAGAGAGGCTTATGCAATAGCGAGCTGGTCGAGGCGTTAGCACTCCACTCATTTTTTAGGTTCGTGAAAGACTTCAAGCCTTTGGAATCGTCCGAGAATAAACCTGCAGCACCTGCTCCTGAAGTGGTAAACCAAGTTATATTTCTGTTAATGGTTTCAACGAACTGACCAAAAATTCTTTTTCAGGAAAAAGTCCGTGTTAAATTTATTCGAAACTATGTAGAAGATACAAGTGATAAGACGGAGGAAAAGGTTCTTGGTCGAGCTATGATTCTATTGGGCTCTGGCTCAGGCACTCTGAAAGAGCTGAAACAAAACATTTGTCTTCTTGGCTTTGTATTGTGCGGTAAATTACCTGATGCTGTCAGTCTTCTGGCCAAAAACCGTGAGGTTTTCTACAAAGAAATCCTCACCGCTTCCCAGAATGTAGCTGAAAGTCTGAAACTGGAGGGCTCGGACGAGTTTACACAATCGTTACAGCAAGCACTCGATAAATGCACGCAGACCAACTCCATCCACGAAAAACTGGAGAGTAGTATAAAAGGTAGTTCCCAAAAGTTCGAACCGAAACTCTTAGCTGAATATGGTCAGTCCTATCAAGAATGGTCCAAACAGTTTGAGAACGCTGTAAAGAAGTATATCGAGGAGCAGAGTCTAGTGGAACGGAAGGATAGCATTGAGAAAACGCTGAACGAGCTGGAAGCGAAGCGGCAAAACCTTTGGTTTTTTGAGAACAAGGATGACATCGATATTCAGATATACAAGAAGAAGGTCCAATATCCTAAGCGCTGGTTCGGAAAGAAAAAGACGCCAAAGGCAGCGGATACGTTCTACGTGCCGCCAAGTGTCACGAGATCCGCCAACTGACCCGAAGCCACGTCGGAGCCCATACATAGGTAAAAACAAGGCAAATCCAATTGTTTTTAAGCTTTAATTAAACTACTGGAGAATCAATCCAAATTCAAATGTTGTTTCTTTTCTCGAACGTTAAATTTGTTTAAAATTACCATAACGTAACATTGAGGGTCACAGTTATATTCATTCCATCTCAGTTTACAACATTTTTTTTTTAGTTTTTTTTTATAATTTTTCTTTGGAGTTTTTCATAAATTTTCAATCTTAGAAACTAATCGTCTGTCATTTGTGTTGCATGGCCGAAGGCAGATTAGTTTTTAAAACTCTCTGCCCTGGTGCAGATGGTGATAGATTAATGGGCGATGGTAGGTCATGCCGCTTGTCCTGTATGGTTAGGGGTAAGAATTGCTGTTGCTTCTTTTTCCGGTTCATATTTATGGGGTGCGTATTGTCGTTCTTTCCAAAAAGAATGGTCAAATGGACTGCGCAGAAGATCCCTAAGCTCTGTAAACAGAAGTGCGTTTATATGTTGAAGAGAAGTGTGATCGGTGCGCGTGCTTCCAATGATCTCACCTGAAAAATAGCTATAATGGCAGCCCCGAACGCGGTTATCAGCAAGCGGTTCTTGATTTGCTCCGATACGACGGCCAAACAACCGCGCTTGTAGTGAGTATCGCAGGCAGATTCGTAGGCGTGCTCCGGACGAGAGCAACAGGACCAGGGCAGCGAGAGTCGACGATAATCAAGAGGTCCATCAACGCCGCAGCATTGTAGCTGAACAAACCAGTAATCAATTATACTCATTTATAGCCATATCTAAAGACTTACCTGCGACTGCATTCTATTCCACAAATGCAAGTTATCTACTTTGGTGCGCGAAAATTTGTCCAAGAACTCCACGAAGGAATCGTCAATGAAAATCTCTACCGAAGTTGGAAGGTTCTCCCGCATGGCCAAGGACCATCCACAGATAATGAATTGAACACATATGCAGGCCACCAGAAGTGCGGAAAACTGGGGATATAGAAAGAAATTTTGTGATATATAGGGATGCATGCTCCATGGCTAACGTAAGTTTCCTTTTCACAATTGCATTACCATTCCGAGTAGGCAGCGCTTCCTTTGGTTCGTAGCCTGACATCCCATCCAGCACAGGATGAAGGTCACAGGACCCAGGCACAGGAGGATCGCGGCTGGGGCCCACAACTTGTTCTGCACAATTCCATAATACACCGAGTGTCCCCACAACAGGGATGTTCCCAAAAATATCTGCGCGGCTCCAGTTAGCTAAAATACGAAAGAAGCATGGTGTTCATTTGACGGAGCTGTTCGAGTAGGATTAAACGCCCGTCCCGTTCATCACAGTGTCCTTGCCACTTTGGGATGCTATTCTGAAGGCTTTCATTTGTACTCCCTTTGACGTCATGCGAAGTGTTGTGTGCACAAGCCCATGCACACCCAAACATATGTATGTATGTATGTAGGCGCAGCTTTTAACTAGCTCAAGGTCACTACGACTCGGGATTTAATATACTATATACGAGTATGTATTCAAGGATAAAAATGTGTACATATCCCCCATGATTCGCCACAATGGTGAGAGTGAGTGGGAGTGTGGGACGTTGTACATTCGAGGACAAGAAGTTTGTGCAGGATGTTCATACATGTGTATCTACATACGTGTACATGTATCTACATCATTTGATGCACAGATTTCCATAGTGTGAGGAGCATGAAATGAAGTTGATTGTATTCGTTCGGAATATGCATGATTTGATTTGGTTTGCAGGAAATGGGAATATTCGTTCATACATACTCGTACAATGATGTGATGTAGAACCAAATTGTATGCAAATGCTCCCCAAATTGATTACATTTTCCGTGCAATTACATACATATGCACATACATGTGTGTAAACCGTTATCGGACGCACACACATTCATATCATTGCATTTACCTTATATAACTCTACAAAGCTCTAATTATGCTCTCTATCTCTCCCGTTCGGAGAGGAGAATGTGGGCCAAACTTACCGCTAGGAGAAATACATAACTGTAAACCAAATATTTAAAACATTTAATTTTCTTTGGCAGCGCCATTGTTGTTGTCCTTCGCGAGTCTTCGAATTTTCGAGTGCTCTCCGTCGAATATCTCGCAGTTTGCATTCACTTCACTGAAGTTTATTAATTATATTAAGTCTCTCAGCATTCGTGGGTATGTGGCTGTGTGTGCCTTTGTTTTTGAATGTGTGTTGGCGTGTTGCAGCTTTTCGGTTGCACGGATGTACGGCTGTGTGGGTATATTGTGGACCTCTATTTTGGTTGGATTGAAGTTATGCTGTCGTTGTTAGCCTTCGCTCGATTCTGCTGCAGTGTTCGTCACATCACATCACTTTATCATCACTGAACGTTGCTGTTGCTCGCGGTTTCAGAGACATCCACATTTTGCCAGTCCAGGTCCAGGTTCAACTTCACGGATGCAATTTTTAACTAAAAATAACAGTTAGCTTAGTGTTAACTCCGAGTCACTCAGATCGGTCGCAGTCGAAAATACGCATTTGACGGTCTGACCATTTCGTTCCTTGCTTTGTTATACTTCTGCGCCAACAGTGGGAATATTATCTATAACCGCGGCCAATAACACTGCGCGCCAACCAAATTTTATATCGGTTAAAGAGTGTGACCGTAGATATTTATTATTTTATTTTTGTAGCCAAAAATATAGCTCTACGGAGCTATAAATATAAATATATATATATATATATCTATATATATATGTATTTCCCGAAAACGGAGCCATGCTAGGCAAAAATTTCGACATATTTGAACATCGCGCCTCGCCTACGATTTCTACTTGATATTTACACTTACTCCCAAAAGGAGTATGCTACGAAACGAAAGTTACCACTATCGAATATTCGATTGACACAAGCTGGCCAGCATCAACATTACAGTTTGGCGCCAAGAAGCTACATTTAAATAGCAATTTCAAAAACTATTCAAAAGATAGTAGCCAACGAAGGACTATGTCACCCCATTGGACATTTGCTTATCCACCCAATTTAACTGCCACTTGCCGCAGAAACAAATCGGTAATATGTAGGTTCAACAAAATATATTTCGAAAATTGCTTGGAAAGTATAGACAAAACTGAAATGCTTTTCTGATTTTATTACGATCTTGCGAATTTATACTGTACTACTATTTACACACTTTTATTGGCGATTTTAGGAGGGAATATGTAAAAATCTTAGCATGAAAGAGTGTATAAAAATTATTCAAATATATGTATGTAGGTAGGTAGGAGTTCATGTAAGACGGGGTAGAAAATAAAATAGAAATTACAATACCGTTTGTATACAAATATTCTTAGAAAATAATGTTCCATTTTGATGGACCAGCCGTTTTAAAAAAATAGGGAATAGTGGACGTGGGGTTCTGTGGGGTGTTTGAAACTCAAATACAATTTAAAAGAGAAAAAACAACTTGTTTTGCCTCTCTCTCTGTCGGGCTCGGATTCTTGGATTCTAATTCCCAGCGCCAGCCCCAGCCCCATCTCCATCTCTGGCTGCGTTCATATCGTCATGCCGTCGGTGAAGTTATTGTGAATCCAGTAAAGTAGTCACGTGAATGTTGGTAAGCTTAAGATTTAAATGTACATTTTACATATTTATACAATAAGTAATTAAATCTGTTACTTTTACTGTTTACCGTATGTTTGTATACAATATATATATATATAAAATTCAGGTCTCTTTGCAAGTATTGGATTGGCGGCGGGTGGAGCCAACTCAAAGATCGGTTAGGTTATTCGCGAAGATTCTTGGTCAGCAGCAGGTTGTTGTGGTGCCCGGAGAGATGCCGGACCAGCTCCTGCACCGACTCGAAGCACATGGAGCAGAAGCAACAGCTGTAGCGGTTCTCCGTGTCCGTGCCGTTGGTGGTGGTTATGATGTTCCGGTGGACCGAGCACAAGTGCTTGAGGAGGTGGGCCTTCTGCTTGAACATAGCCACGCAGAGGCGGCAGGCAAAGGGCTTCTCGCCCGTGTGGACGCGCAGATGGGTTTTGAGGTTCCAGGACATGCCGAACTGCTTGCCGCAGTACTCGCACCGGTACTCTCGCACCGAAGACGAGTGGGGGTTGCTGCTGGCTATGTTCGATCCGGAGGCGGAGCTGCTGCGACCCTCTGGGTCCAGCCCCAGGTTCATGTGCGACAGACTAGAGAGTCGCGACTGCAGATTGGGCATTGCGGAAATCGCGGCGTTCTGATTCGACTGCCACTGGTACACGAACTGGGGCCCCAAGTGCATTGGTATATCCGGGCTCTGTGCATGGTTCCTTTGCGATTCGATTAGCTTTCGGTCCGGGGTCAGGGTGTCGCCGTTGAGTGCCCCATCCTCGAGATGGGCGAGCATGTTCTTCTCCGAGCTAAATCCAGATATGGGCGATGTCGTCGACTTCACCAGTCTCAGCTCTTCCAACAGGTTTTGCTGATACGATGTGAATGGCTGATTGTCACTTTGAGTGTTGTGAAAGCCGGGTCGTCGTTTTCGATGGGGCGTAACCACGTAGTTCTCCGGCGAGCTGTTGATGTCCGAGCCATCGGACAGCGGCTTCAACACATCCTTGTGCGAGTCGAAGAAAAGTCCCTTCCGCTTTGTGCTCTCGCTTGCGCTGATAGCCAGGTCGATGCCGCTGTGATCAGATCCCGATCCGATTGTTCTGCTGGCATCACTACGGGCCGAGTTCTCGCTTTTTGTCCGGAGGTCTAGTGAAAGGTTAACTGGATTTATAGCCGAGTTGTTGTTATTGTTGTTACTGCTGTTGCTGTTGGTGTTGCTGTGGTTGCTGATGCCACTCGGTGGAGCATTAGAGAGATTTACGATTTCATCTGTGTCTTTTTCGCTCCTGTTGTCCTTGTGCGTGCATTCGTCGTCCTCCTCCTTGGCCACCCCCCCGCCGCCACACTCGGGGGCACTCTCGCAGTGCTCGGCCGAGCACGCGGAAAAATCTGCCGCATTTCTGGACTCGTCCACACTGTCGACCTCATACTTGAGTGTCTGGTCCAGGTTCTGGGAGGATGAGTACTGCTTCCGAGATCTCTCGCGTATGCTTCCGCACTTGCTGTTCAGATAGGCAGAGTCTGTGGTCTTCCAGCTATCGGACTTGATCTGCAGGAGCAGCAGCAGATCGTGCAGGTAGTTCACGTCACGAGAGGTGATGCACGTCTGTCCCGAGTACAGGAAGTCCAGCAGAAATTTAAAGTAGGTGGCATTGACGTCTGGGAAGTAGACGGTGGTCGAGCAGTCGCTCAGGTGAGTGTCCTCTAACAGGTTTCTGCAAAATCCAACCAATAACCATCAGTGAACTCAAAAATGACCCAGCCCCCACCCAATCGAAAGGCTTACCGTATGAGGGGACTGGCGGCGGCCAGCACCAGTTTGTGTGCATGCAGCTTCACTTTGTTCTCGCACACGATTGTAAGGTCCGCCGGGTGTTCTCCCCGGAACGCTGCTCCGATTTCCTTGAGTATGCACTCGCCATGCTTGCTGTATTGCAACATCAACATTCTCTGAAACTACAAATGGAAGAAGGAAGAGGGGTTAGATTGGTTGCATCGGATTCTGCGCATTAGTACTACAAATATTAGATTTCAAAGAATGCAAGCTACAAATCGGATCAGAGACCACTCTATATATGCATGTACATATGTATATTTTCATTTGTACATACGAGTATATACTCGTACATGTGCATACCTTTCTGTGAATTGTGAAGACAGCAAAATAGAAAGTTTTGGAATGGAAAATGTCTGCATCTGGCGCTGTCTCTTCCGCTGGCGAGTATTACACAATCTCCGAGCTTGGAAGCCGCCTTTCACCGAAACTCTCTCCTCCCCTCTCCCCATGACTATTTCACGATTGTGTCATACAGACGGCACTCACACAGGTAGGCTCACCCACCTACACACTCGGTCGCTTGTCTGTGTGTTAGAAAAAGGATCTTGCAGTATTCGAAAGTGAGCTTTCATCGCCACGGAGAAATGATCATGCATACACATGTGGACACATCCATACACTCATATGTATAGCGAAGAGCGGTTGTGTGTGTGAATTGAAATTACAAAGCATTAGTAAATGTTTACTAATCAGGTTTTTAGGTTTTTCTTCATCTCTGTTTTTGTAATACTGCACAAGCCACACACACACGCATACAGCCATTACCTTCACACGTATGTACAGCCCAAGCATTGTTGCTGGAAAAGATGAAAGCTCCACTTCATAGAGCAGCCCCCAACCACAATAGCAGTTGCTTAAGAAACGCTCGCTATGCTGCTTCTGCCACTACCTCTCTATGTCTCTCTCTCTCTCTCTGCGCGACTGCCTCAAAAAAGCTTTCCCCTTTCGATGTTGTTGTTGCTGCCGACAGCTTGCTGTTGCGTTGGTGTGTTGGTGTTGGATTCGAGTTTGGCGCGAAGGCAACGCCGAATACGATGAAATTGTTACACTGAAATTCGCTGGACTGTGAGACTGTATCTGTGGAACAGCTATGCATACTCGCTCACTTTATGGGGCTATTACTGTATTGTGCAAGAGCATGGCTTGTAAGCTCTCAACAAAGCTAAAGTTCAGCAGATCTGAAAACTTCGAAAAGATAGTCTTGCTTTTTGTTACGCTCTGCTGCGTCGCTGCTTTTGCCTCTGCTTCACTGGGAGACGAAACGTTCACTTTCAATAAAACTTGAATGACTGGCTTGGCACAGCACCAAGAGAATGGGAGAATGGCTTCCCCCCTCGCCGACGCTCCACTCCACTTCGTAGTTGTGTTATTTTTCATGGGAAGCGAAAGCTGAAAGAGCACGATCGTTTGTGGGAAAGATTGCGGGGGGAGGAACGGGGAGATGACAGGCTAGTTCTAACGTTGGGCAAGTCAGAAACGGTGCTAATGGAATAAAGTTGAATACTGGATTCCAATCCTCTCATTCCTTCTATTCGTCATGGATATTCATTCCTTTCTACAAACGCTTTCAGATTTCGCAATTGGAAATGTACAACCACATATGTACATACATACATACAATAACTGGCTTTCATAAATGCATACACTGGGCTCCGACGTCTGCGGAAACGCGTTTGAGTTATTTTCAAATGGAACATCATTCCTGCCGTACTTTCATTTGATGCGATCATAAACATTTCGACATTTTTCTCCACTTTGGGCTCAGACTGGTGTTGCCGAGTGTACAACATACATTCATACATACATACATACAAAACAACTCGAAATGGGAATGAAAGGGACAAAGCAGAGATGATCGAGCGCAAAAGTGAGACAAAACAAAACACGCTAACTCACAAAACGCGCATAAAAATCACCTTTCACAAAAAGCTTTTCTTTTTCTCTGTGCTGTATGTCTGTGTATTAGTAAAAAAAAAAGAGCTAAACAAAACGAACACACTCGCATAAATATTTACATACAGAGAACGTAAGTTCGTATATAAATATGTATGTATGTATGTACATACATATTACTTTATACTTTCAGATTTTTGTAGTCGTCATCGTTCCAATGTAATGCAATGTTTTTCCACTACTCTTTCTTTAATGTGAGTGAGAGTATCATTTATGCAGATTGTGAGTGTATAAGCACATGTCTGGTGCAGATTGAAAACGAAGAGAACGGGGGCCACAAAAGAGAAAGCGCATTCGAAATATTTTGAAAGTTGTATGAGAGCTTATAAAAAGGGAGCGGAGCGGTGTGGAGAGGGGGCTAAACTTGTTTCTGCACCAACACACTCGCACTCGCAACTCAGAGCTGTGCTCTTTCCCCTTTCACGAAAGCTCTCTGGCCGCCCCGCAGAAAATGGCAAAGAGTCGTCGTCGCCGCGCCATTGTACTTGCTGTAAATGCTACACTCGTAAAAGTGACCCAAATTTGAATTACATAACTTATGAGGCGAACGATACATGCTGGGAAAGATACGATAGGACAGTACTTTTGGGCATTGAGATTGAGGCTCTCCAAGGAAATGATAAATACATACATATGTACAATGGAAGTATTTTGTTTTGGATTTCTCCATTTCCCCTTTCAGTAAGATAGTTTTCGATTGTAGAATGTTCAAAGCTTTCGTCACATATTACTATAAAATACATATTCCTCCACTCTTTGTAAGTGCACAGACCGACAGACAAACGTGTGTATATACTTGTAAATATGTTCATATATGTTTGTGTGCATGTACATATAGCATATTTTGTAACATCTGCGCGATCGGCCTGTAATTGTGCGCTTGCATGTTCATTGTCTGTGTGCGCATACATATGCTTGTGGTGTGGTGTGCTTTTTCACCTTCACTCTTATTGGAAAGCAGTTCAGTTAGCCGTCAACCACTACCATTATATACAGATTATATCTGTACATAGGTATGAACGTGTGTACGAGTATGTCTTCAAATTTCATGACATGCATACAAATACACACACACACAAACAAAATATTACGCAGACAAAAGCACGCCATGCCATGAAGGTCACTAAGCCTTTCTTGTCTTTTGGTTGGCTGCGCTTTGTAGCCGTAGCTGTTGCTTTTGCTTTAGCTGTTGTTGTTGTTGTTGCCCTGTTAATGATGATCACGATGACGAAGATTGGATAGCTACGAACAGACGTTCGCTATATCGGAACTTCGTTCAGGCCCAACTTTGGCTTTAAGCTCGGTCTGGTCTGGCTTTGGAATGTTTTTCTCTGCGACTATTAAATTAGTGTTTGACCTTGGTAGCTCTGCGTTTTATGTATGCTTAGGTGCATGTAGACACGCGTACCATCGCAAAAGTTTGGGTTTTTCGTTTCGTTGAAGATGTTGCAATGCCAGCCGATGGAAAAGTTTCTGGCTCATTTAACCGAACTCCACTATGTATGTGAATACGAGTGGTAAATATACAGCAAAGCTTACCTCTTTCATTAGCAATTGATCGAAAATTGTTTAATCCCTTGCACTAAACTAAGACTCAATGGATAAATTCCTCGATCAGTTCGTTCACGGTGGATATGATATGCGATTCGAGTGCGTGTGTGTTTGCGTGGGTCTGTACACATGTGTGCGACCAAGTCGAGCTTTCCCCTTTCACAATCCAATCTCTTTTAGCCACAGCTCCAGTGGGCGAGAGTGTGTATGTGAGGGATACACACACGCGACGACGCGTTCTATTCCGTTGGCAGTGCTGTTGGTCTCACCCACAACAACTTTCAATTTCGATTTCAACACCAACACCCAGCTTTCGTGGTCTCGTGTGTGTGTGTGTGTAGTTGGTGATCTTCGAAGGCGGGGGAACACAACTCTCGGTGGTACTACTATTCATATTTTTAAGAACACATGAAGCTTTATTCGCTCACTATATTGGCCATCCAACGCGGACTTTAATTTTATTCAATTTCTCTTTTGTTTTTCCTGCTTGCACATCTTCTTCTTCTGCGACGCAGCGATCCACACTAGCACATGTACACAGCACAGCACACCACACTCACGAATCGTTCACCACGACAACGACATTAACTTTAACTAGGTTGAAGTTTTGTTTCTTTTTTATTGCGAAATAAAAAACTTGATTGGTAAAACTTTTTCTGGCGGGCGAGCGAGTGTCGAGTGTGAGAGATCTCTTGCTCTTGCTCTTGCTCTTGCTCTTTTTTGAATTCAATGCGCGCGCGCGTCCGACTCGATCGGCGGTTGGGAAAAAAGTATTAACAGTTAACATCAGCCCGAAGAATTTGAATAAAGTTTATCGATAAGATATACCGAAATATACCGCCTCGTTTTAAAAATATACCGCAAATATACTGACTATTTTACAGATTCCTCGTTTCTGATCTTCCGTGGAATATTCTCAGCTATATAGCACATTTAGCCGTGCCCACATAATTTTAGCCCATTGATGAATCAATTTTCTACTTGACTGGCTTATTCTTATTACTTGCTTTTATTGCATTTTGCGTAAAAAAAGGTTTTGGCGAAAATGGTCAAACAAATGAAACGACTTAAAACGCAAGAGAAAAATCGTTCCAATTGTTCAATTTCTTTATTCCGTTGAATAAACCTCAGTAACTAAAACCTTTAGTTCTGCCCACATAATTTTATCCGATTAATGAATCAATTTTCTACCTGATTGACTACTTTTAAGTACTCTCTTTTATTGTATAGTGTAGAAAACAAGGTTTAAACAAAAAAGGTCAACAAAAAAACAGTCGCAACGTAGGTGGGTATGGAATGTAACGTAAGTGAGTATGAAATGTCACGCTAACCGGAGCCTGGGCTCAGCTATACCCTATTTCGTTAATATATATGAAGAAACTGTTTTTCCAAGCTGTTTAAAAACGCAATTAATATAGAAATTATCTCAGATTGTTATGTTTTAGACATATGTATAAATGCATATGATTAGGGTCATGTAAATATATCTCGAACCCGATACCCATTCTTGGTTTCTGTAAGTAGACCTTCAAAATATCGTTGAAATACATTTAAAACAGAGACTGAATAGTTTTGGCCTATATTAGTGCATTAGATGACAAACATTTTCTCAGTTCTATAACATCCATTTCCCCAGGGTATGTAAAATCCTGCTCAATACGGGATGACAAACATTTTCTCAAATCTATAATATCCTTTCCTAGGGTATGCAATGTTGCTTGCATGTTGCCGCAACATGGAACGCGATTTTTGCTCTCTCTCTTAAGTGAGTTCCAATTGTTGAATTTTTATATTTCGTTGAATAATTCTGGCTAACTAAATCCTTCAGCCATGCCCACATAGTTTTATTCCATTGATGAATAAATTTTCTACAAGATTGGCTAGTTTTTAGTCCTTGCTTTTATTGTATTTTGGCTAAAACAAGGTTTAAACAAAATACTTTAACAAAAAACAGTCTCAATGTTGCTGGTATTTGAAGACTTTTTGCCTGTGAACCGGACCTTTATATACCCTATATCAGTAATTTTATATATTATTATTATTAATTATTTATTATTAATAAATAAAATTGATATGTTTTTGACATATTCATGTATTTGATTAGTTTCTTGTATATCCTTATCCCAATACCCATTCTTGGTCTCTGTAAGAAGACAATAAACTGTAAAATATCGTTATGATAGCTTTAGAACAGAGACTGACTAGTTTTTGCATTTATTGGTGCATTAGATGACAAACATTTCCGCAATTCTATAATATCCAGAGTATTCGGAATGTGTTGCTACAAATTAATGTTGCCACAACGTCTGATTAACATTCTGTAACGTGTGCTTGTTTTCCCGTTAATTCCTGGCACTTTCAAAATGCGTAGCAATTTTCCCCAGGTTTTTTTTAGTCGTTTCGATATAACTTTGTAAGGTCTATGTTTAGTACAAAAGATGGGGCTCATCCAATTTTTAGTTTTCATAATGATAGCATTAAACATGTGGTCGCGAACGTACGCGAAATAGAATTCGACTTTTGCTAAATATAGTCAAGTAAAAAAATCTGCGACACGGAACAGAATAATCTAAGGCAGTTCATTTACTTTAAAAGGGGGTAACGAGAGTACGATTTTTCATTGTTATTTTTTACTTTATCACTTCACATTCTCTCATAAATCAATTCACATTATCTTAACAAACAACTTATTTCGCTTTGAGGAACAACTTTTATCAATAATCATCTTTCTTAAAGGAGAAAGCAGTACAGGAAAACATGACTATTTTATTTTAGTAGATTTTCAGATCAAAGTAATGAAATTACATACAATACATACAATTGGTTAAGTTTCATTCAATTTATATAACAAAGGTATGTGGAAATGGGTTTATATTATTGTTTTGTTTATTAATATTTATTTATAGACATGCAAAATATGGTACATTATGATCTCCACCTACCCATTTATTTTCCTACCAAGGTGTTTTAGCAACTGCCATCCTTTACATCTATAGCTTCTCCAGTTTCTGGTCGCATGTTAGATCAAAATGTCCATGAAAATGATTTAAAAAAATTTTAGTTCATTCGGAAGAAACAAATGCCTTTGAGATTGCTTAATGACCTTGATCACCAATAAGTAACGCTAATTTCCCTATTTGTTTTCTTTGTGAAAACAGAACGCCTACATTTGCATCTTCTACCCTTTCAAATTTTAGGGAACAATTAGACATGTCCTTGGACCAATTTTCTCAGTTGACTGTGAATAAATCTACATTCAGGAATTCATGAAAGTGTATGCAGGTAGGTAGATAATATAATTCAATAAAGGATGCAGACTACTAAATAAGTAAATTTCCAATAGAAACTTTGTACTAAAAACTGCCATTAAGATCAAGATCGAATGGTTGTAATGGTTGTTTTTGGATTGATTGACCTACTAGGATGGATGGCTATAGCTTTAGGTCCCGATACTAATTTACATACAGCTGTCCTCCTATTCTACCTCCAAGGCACGTTCATTTACATAGACAGAACAGTCGCATCCATTGAAATCAATTCTTCACCCTTAAGTTTCAAGGACACTTGCAATTGTTCTCCTTAATGGGAAAGGGTAGAGGGAGTAGATGTGAATTCGTACGTAGGTGGCGTGCGTATGCATCGGACATTTGAGGATCATAAACAACACATTTAATAGGATAATCGAGGCGCAGCGAGGGTCAAGGTCTTTGAAGAAATCTATTTCGTAATGGATTTCTCCGTGATACCTTTCTTTTGTATATAATTAAGGAAAATTTACATGTTATGGTTGTATGTATATGTATGTACATAAGTATATACAAAATGTGTAGTTATATACATTCCTAGTATTGAATTCCTCAACTTCGATAAAAAATATAAACGTATTCAAAAACATAATTTGAATTAACATGTTCGATCTTTAAAAAGTTTAAATATAATACTATAAATCCATGTCACTCATTCTATATAATTGAGGAAACTAGTCAGTCGCTGTTTTAAGTTTTTGGTTTTCTTTCGGGGACCAAGAATAGGTATCGGGATCGAGATGTATTAATATATACATATATATATCATTTAAGTTTTGTAATCAATTTTTCACAGTGAGAACTAACAGGAGTCGTGATACAAAATTGGGTTGCTATAGTTCTTTTAGTCTCTGACATCTAGGCGCTCATCGGGACAGACTATTGATGCAGCTCAAGAATATACATATATACTTTATGGGGTCGGAAACTCTTCCTTCTGAGCGTTACACATCCATTTTCACCACAAATCTAATATACCCCTATATTCTCTCTTTGAGTATCTGGGATACAAATGTGGACGTGGCTTGAGTATAGTTGTTTGAGAAAAACAGTTAAATTTCGTGGGACGACGATTAACCGATTGCGGTTAAATGTTGTTCTCTATTTTCGTCTTTTTTTAAGGATAAGATACTATGCAGCTGAATTATGGAATGGTGTTGAATGACTGGGGAATATGACAGAGAATATGATACAACTTTAAGAATTTTAGCTTAGTTCAGATGAAAGCTATCGTGATTTTTTTAAGTTCAGAAATAAGTAATATTTTCCGCCATTTGCCTCAAGTAGTTGAACTATTTAAATCGAGGGGGCTTAGGTGTGCTAAGTTCGGTTTTTAATCATACGAGACGCTATATTGTTGTTGAGGAACCAAAATTGAGACAAAAAAAATCAAAGTCAAGTATTTTAAATAAGCAAATCAGGTAGAAAATAGATTCATTAATTGGATAAAATTATGTGGGCAGGGCTGAGGGTTCTATTTAGCTAGTAATTTTCGTTGTAATATCAAAATCGAGGAATATAGTATATAATCGGGTATTGAATCGGTAATAACCGGTAGGCAGCATGATTCCCATTCCATATTCCACCACATATAATATATCCATATAAACTTAGTTTTTTTTTAAATATACCGCTAAACTACGAACCGTTTAAAACGGAACGACGCGATTTTTGCTTTTCACCAATAAAAATCGTCAAAAATGAAATGCAAATAGATATTATAGAATTAATCCCAGGCTCCAAAGAAAGCAACAACAATTTAGTCTCTGTTTTAAAGCTATTACAACGATATTTTACAGTTTATTGTCTTCTTACAGAGACCAATAACGGGTATCAGGATCGAGATATGTATCTATATATGCATGTACATAAAAGATAATAATCATATGCATCAATTCGTCTAAAACCTATCAATTTGAGAAATTATATTAAATTAACGAAATAGGGTATACAAGGGCATATATTTTTTCTTAAACTCTTTTGTTTAAACCTTGCTTAGTCAAAATACAATAAAAGCAAGGTCTAAAAACTGTCCAATCTTGTTGAAAATTTATTTATCAATGGCATAAAATTACGTGGGCAGAACTAAGGGCTTTAGTTGGCCAGAATTATTTAACGGAATATAAAAATTGAGCAATATGAACGACTATCCTTTCTCGTTGTTTTTGTTTGGCCTATTTCGTTAAAACCTTTTTTACGCAAAATCCAATAAAAGCAAGTATTAAAAATAAAACAGTTAATTAAAAAATTGATTCATCAATCGTATGAAACTAGGTGGGCAGGGCTCACTGTTTTATTTAGCTAGTAATATTCCACGGAATATCAAAAACGAGGAATATGTGTAATAGATCTTGAATTCTTCAGTATATTTACGGTATATTTTTAGAATCAGGCGGTATATTTTGGTGTGTTTCTGAGGGTCGGACGGTATGTTTTAACGATAACTCCGCTGTCACACTGGACACAACAGCTGCACTTTGAAAGCAAAAAGTAAAATGAGTTTAAATATCTGCATTTTGGGCCGCAAAAGCAATGGCCTTAACATCTTGAACATATCCAGAAAAGGTATGTGTTGGAAGGAATAGCATGTTATTTGCATAAGACAAGCAGAGGCACAGCACTGGACTTTGGCTCTCCGGCAACGGACAAATCTTAAAGGGCCAAAGTCCAAGATCTCAACGGATGGAGGTGTCCCCGTCACCCTTTTGGAAAGCTACTATGACGTCTGAAGCTTATCATAGATAGACTTTATTTTGCAATGCCATAGTTTGGTTGCCTATGCAATACATAATAATAGCCTAATAATGGAAATAAATTTTTGTTTGTACAAATTAATATAGTTCAATGCAGAGCCCTGTCGGCCGCGGTGGCGGCACCCCAACCCAAGCAGAGGAACAGTCAAAATGTGGTGCTTGTTGATGGTGTCCGTACACCATTTTTGACTTCCGGAACCTCCTACTCGAAACTTATGCCGCACGAATTGGCCCGACACTCTCTTTTGTAAGTCTTTGGTATATTTTTGGTTTACGTTTTGACATGTATTTGACTCTAATATACCTATACAGATCGCTGTTGCAAAAGAATCGACTTGACAAAGAGCTCATCGACTATATAGTCTATGGCAGCGTCATCCAAGAAGTGAAGACTTCCAATATCGCACGCGAGGCAGCACTCGCAGCTGGGTTCAGCAATAAAACACCCGCCCACACGGTCACAATGGCTTGCATCAGCTCCAATGCGGTAATCCCATCAAAGTTATTCCTTTAATTGCATAGTAACTCTTGACATCCCGCTCTGTGCAGGCAATAACAACGGGCATGGGCTTGATTGCAACCAACACATACGATGTTATTGTGGCTGGTGGCGTTGAGTTTATGTCAGACGTTCCCATTCGCCATTCTCGCAAGATGCGCGGTCTTATGCTAAAGGCGAACAAGGCAAAAACTCTTGGGCAGCGTTTGGCGTTGCTGTCGACATTCAGGCCTGGCTTCTTGGCCCCCGAATTGCCAGCTGTGGCCGAGTTTTCGTCTGGCGAGACAATGGGACACTCGGCGGATCGTCTGGCATCCGCATTTAATGTTTCCCGCGGCGAGCAGGATGAGTACGCCCTGAGATCGCACACGTTGGCAAAGGAAGCACAGGAGAAGGGCTACTTCACGGATCTGGTTCCATTCAAGGTGCAAGGCGTTGATCAGGTAGTGGACAAAGACAACGGCATTCGTGTGTCAACCCCCGAAAGCTTGGCGAAGTTGAGGCCGGCTTTTGTGAAACCCTATGGCACGGTTACAGCCGCTAATGCCTCATTTCTGACCGATGGTGCCTCTGCTTGTTTGATCATGACTGAGGAGAAAGCAAAACAGCTTGGCCTTAAGCCGAAGGCCTACCTGCGCGATTTCCTGTACGTGTCGCAAGATCCCGTCGATCAACTGTTACTGGGACCCGCCTACGGGATTCCGAAACTTTTGAAAAAAGCCGGTCTCACTTTGAAAGACATTGACTCGTGGGAGATCCATGAAGCTTTTGCCGGTCAAATTGTGGCCAATCTGAAGGCCTTGGACTCGGATTGGTTCTGCAAAACATATCTGGGCCTGAGCGAAAAGTTGGGCTCACCAGATCTGTCCAAATGGAATAACTGGGGCGGATCCCTGTCCATCGGACATCCATTTGCCGCAACTGGTGTCCGTCTGTGCATGCACACTGCGAACCGCTTGGTTCGCGAAGATGGCAAGCTTGGTGTGGTCGCAGCTTGTGCAGCCGGCGGCCAGGGCGTTGCCATGCTTATCGAGCGCTATCCTGGCGCAACAGCCGACTGAAATCGAAATCAAATCAACAAAGGAAAGTGCAGTTTGACTGCAGTTTGATGCCTTAGCTTTTATACACTTAAAACTATGTCTACGAGTAAAGAAATTTGAAATTAAATGTTCGTTTAATTCCGGCTGGCGAAAATCCTCTAGCTGAGGCAAGGGTAATGCCTTCTTGCTTGCTCTGTCCGAGGTAATGCAGTGAACTGAACCAGGGCCATGGCTAGAGGTGCCTGGCGGACAGCCATAAAACACTAGGGGAAGCTCCCCCGAAAAATATTAACCGGTCAATAACTCGGGCGGAAGCGTTCCAGGGAGGGGATGAAGGCAAAAGCTCAATAGCCGGCTCCAAGGCAGGGTGGATATATCCCAAGGGGAGAAATCCACGATAGAATGGGCTGAGCAACGGTTTATTCGCTAACAAGGTGGAGGAGATGTTGTGATGGACCTATTTCAGGCCGAGGTAAGCTCAGTCACGTCCAGGGGTCAATCCACAAGAAATTTGTAGAAGTGGATGGAACTTTGAGGGAGACGCAGGGTTGGCCTCTCGTAGAGAGGATGGATCGGGGCTAGGGCGAGAGTTGCTAGTAGTGTGTATCGAATGGTGTATGTGGACGTGAGGTGGGGTAGCTTCGCCTCGGCTCTTTGGAATGACTTACGCTGTTGATATTATTTAGATAATTGGACACTTTATTATAAATACTTTTAGCACTTTCTTAAGTTCTAAGATTGGTACAACGTCTGTACTCGGGGCCGGGTTTCTTCGTAAGCTCCTATCTGGTTCCAGGCCGGCGCTTATCAATACGCAGGGATGGCATTTCGCTTACTTGGTGATCGTGTGTCGACTGGGTCATCCCAGTCGCGCTTTGCCGACTTGGCGGATTTGCCGTTGGCGCGTGTCGTGAGTTTTCGCGGTCTCATCTCTTCGTGGTTGAGCCCATCACAATAAGTGGGGAAGCCCCGACATCAATGATATGAGTCACTCCTACACTTTATATTATCCACTAGCATACGTGGGGCAGGAACACACATTCGTAGGTCCCACCTCGTCAAACGTGCACGACATAACTCTCGTCACGGGAAAGAGTACCTTGGTATCTGGCTGGAGAGTCCTCGAAAGTCCATCCTTCTCGGACCATAAGTACATTCAGTTTAAGTGCGAGTTCAAACACACTTCGAAGATAACAGTCTATAGATACCCCGGAATACAAACTGGGTAAAGTTTAAAAAGGCACATACTTCGAAACCGGGCTCAGTGAAAACTGAAATGGATATAGAGAAGTCCCTAGAGACGCTATTCAAGGAGTTACTGGATGCCTACCATTTAACCCCTCAAGAACAAAGAAGAGGTCCAAGCCACAATGGTGGAACCGATATCTTTCTCCCCAAAGGAACAACTTCAAGGAATTCTCTAAGATCGCCACAAAAGGGAACAAAGAGATCGTCAATGAGGAATACAAAATCCTACTTAGTAGCTACAAGAAGAAAATACGTACGGCACACAGGAACTCGTGGCGGAAGTTCTGCTGCAACATCGAGAAAATGCCTGAAACCGCTATGCTCCAGAAGCTGCTCTCAAAGCAGCCCACAGTACAGTGTCAATTAAAACTATATAACGGACAGTGGACAGAGGGCAGTAGAGAAGTCCTATCGTACTAAAGGAGGCGCAATTCCCTGGATGCACCAAGGTCACCGAAGCGGAAGAGCATGGACCTAGCAACCGAGGAACAACACCCCCAAACAGACCTGTTAACCACTAAAAAAATCCACTGGGCTATAGACCCCTTCGCGGGCATAAAAGCACCAGGACTGGAAGGGATATTCCCAACCATGATGCAGGTGGCCAAAGAGGTTATCACCCCATGGCTCTCAGCAATATACACTGCATTGGAAAGTACGGGCTATATCCCTATCCAATGGAGAACCTCGAGAGTTGTCTTCCTTCCAAAGGCAGGAAAGTGCTGTCATGTGAGTCCCAAAGATTACAGACCGATAAGCCTTACCTCCGCTCTACTAAAAACACTGGAAAAGCTGTTTAATTTACACATCAGGAATGCGGTTGAGGGACTGATGTCAACTAACCAACATGCCTACACCAAAGGGAAATCGGTGGAGATGCACTACACTCGTTAGTAGCCACCATCGAGAACGCCCTTCACAATAAAAAGTATGCACTGGGAGTATTTGTCAACATCTCCTGAGCATTCAATAACGTGGCCACAGCAGCAATAACGAATCGCGTAGAAGCGAATAACACACGCCCAGCAATCAACCTTTGGATCAAGAACCTCCTAAGTTTTAGATGTGTGCAACCGGAGTGGGGCACCGATTCCATGGTTAAAGGGGCTCACAGAGGCACACCTCAGGGTGGAGTCCTGTCGCGACTCCTGTGAAATCTGGTGGTCGACGACCTCATCAAGAGATTTAAAAGGAAGGCCCCAAAAATAACAGCTTATGAAGATGACATAAGCATACTTATTACGGGTGTATGTCCATCGCCCCTCAGCTCCTTAATGGAACGTACACTCCGGGAGATACGTGAGTGGGCGGAAGAGGTAGGACTCAGTATCAACGCGGGCAAGACGGACCTCATTCTCTTTACCAAGAGGTGCAAGGTACCTGCAAGGTATATGGACGCCCCCGAAAATTGACCAAAGTAGGCTGACCCCAAAAACACAGGAAAAATACCTAAGCATACCTGGCATGGAAACCCAATGTACTCTAAAGGGTGAAGAAGGCCATCAGAAAAATGTCGCCACAAGGATACGGGCATAGTTCAATCAGCGGGGACATGACCAGATCTACTGATTATATGACCCCCCAAACTTGCCTCGACATTAAAACTATCTCATCTCTGGGACCCGAAGACTGGGAAAAGGGAAGGGACCAAGCTCAACATATATACGGACGGATCTAAGATGGACGGAGAAGTAGGAGCTTATACTGCACAGACCCTGCGATAAGGCTGTAGTATAAGCTACCGGACGGATGCAGCATATTCCATGCGGAAGCTTTCGCCATCATGAAAGCAGCAGAGGTCGCGCAGCGTATAGAGCGAGCACATGATGCGGTCAATCTATTCGTCGACAGCCAAGCGGAAATTAGATCCATGCAGGCGTCCGCGGTCAGATGCAGAAGCGTCTTGACAAGCAGGCACTAGACACCCTAAGCCCGACAAAGTCAGTGCGGATCTACTTCCCAGCCATCGTACTAGCTAATGAAGGCTTCCGGCTGGCGAATATGAGAACCGAGAACGTGCCTGTCTCCCTTAGAACTCTGCAAAGCGATCTAGAGAAGCAGGCCAGATCATAAACCGAAAGCAGGTGGAGGAGTACCACCACCTGCAGAACCTCGAAAATAATGTGCAAGGAATGCAACGAGAAACTTAGCCACTACCTACTGCACCTACCACGAAAGGACTGTAAATTCTCGATGACCGCGATGGTTTATACCCCCATTATCAGGATAACTAAGGGCCATACTGGCCTATGCGTGGCCGCGCTGAGAGCCGACCGGGTTAATCTAACCTTCGTTTAATTCCTAACAATGACGCAAATATTATACAAACAGCACCCTTACATAAGAAAAACGAAAACAGTCCGTTTAATCGGTCTCATACAGTTCCTTCTGCTTTAGCTTCGTTTGCAGAATGTCGTTCTCATTATACGATATATGCAGGGGTGGTATGAGCGCGCATGCCACCATTCTGTTCTCAGCATTAAGAAAGTTGAAGGTAGCACAAGCCTGAAAAAAGTAGTGGATATTATCTACTGTTCAGGTATTGTCACTTGGCATACAAACTCACCTGCTCCGTTCGAAGAACCTCAACGTTTATTTTGTGTTTCTTCATGAACTCTATGATCCGCTTGGACAGCGGCGGCGACGGGCTTTGGTCTCCAATACCAATTATGAGAACATCAATTTTCGGATCCAGAGTAGGGAACAAGCTGAGGCTTTCTTCGTTGATGTCCTCGAACGTGTTTACATTCCAAGAAAGGACTGACCTGAAATGAAACCATAGGGAAACCAATTGCATGTGCATGTTTACATAATTCGACCGCCCTTGGTGGGAATGTTCTACGTACCTAGGAAAAACACTGATTGGACCAATTAGGACCATGTCGTTGTTGAGTCTGAACCCATATTGACTATAACCAGTAATCATAAGTCCTAGGTCCGTTTCTGTATTGAATATTGTGACTTTTGTTTTGCCATCGTAGTCGTATGCCTTGCTGAAGTTAACAGCCATGCCGCTGTGCAGCATACGACAGGAGCCGTGTGGAAAGACGAAGCTCCGGCTTCTTTGAGCAACGGCTCTTAATGTTTGCGCAATCATTTTTGGTCTATACAATTAATATTTAAATCAAATTAAATTGTTTATTTTAGTATTATATTATTATACAGTGCTGGATAACATTTATAAATTAAATTATTTTAGTTCAGTAATGAACTAGTTCAATAGAGTTTGTCCAAAAGAATTTACTCTGTGAATATCATTTAAAAATTGTATGATGGATAGTTCCTCTATAGTCGGTAACGAAAGCCGATCCGATCAGGGCGATCAGAACCAATTTTTTCGGTTTATAGCGGCATATTTAATTTATTTATATCTATTTATAACGAGACGCCACGTATATCGGTATATAATGGTGTATTTTGCTAATTTCATCAATCTATTAAATTTCATTTTCAACGGTATATAGAGATCCAATAAAAGCAAGTAATCAGAATAAGCCAGTTAAGTAGAAAATTGATTCATTAATCGGATAAAACTATGTGGGCATGGCCTGAATATTCCACGGAATATCGAAATCAGTATATTTACGTATATTTTTAAATGAGACGGTATATTTTGGTATATTTCTGAGGGTCATACTGTAGAAATAATGGTTTTCGCCGCGCTCCCATGGTATTTTTGTCAATTTCATCAATCTATTAATTTCATTTTCAATGTTATATAGAAATCCTATAAATGCAAGTTTTTCGAATAGACCAATCATGTATAGAATTGATTCATCAATCGTACAAAATTGAGTGGGCATGGCTAAATGTTCCATATAGATAGTATTATTCAACGGAACAAAGAATTGGTCGTTTCGCCCCAGTTAGCTTTAGCAG